CCTCGTGACCCTGCGCGGCCGGCGCGGCCGACCTCCCCCCGGGTCAGCAGTGGACTCGCCCGGCCACGCACGGCACGCGTTGAGAATGTGCGTCGGCCGCGCACAGCCGTGAAATCAGCCGCCGCGCTACATTGCGGAAATGTCATTCCGCTTTGTTCCAGGTTTGAGGTTAGCTAATGGGTCGCGCTGAGAGATTCGAGAAAGCGGGCATGTGTATTGTTACCTAATTTTACGGATAAATCGCTGTTGTTTTGTCATATATTGTCATCTTTATCTCCCGTGATTGAGTGTCAAAACGTGACCGGCAAGTGTGCTACAATGGCCTTCCGCCAGCAACACAGGGTTTCATGCCTGCCATTCATATGGCAGCGAAATGCATTTTAGCGGGATGAATCGGGGAATCGGGCAATGTAAGGAAATGTCATACGTGTCGCAGAGTTTCATTACAATCAGGCATAATGCACGACGTGGTAGAGGGGATTTTGGACTGCCCCTCAGGATTCCGGGGTGCAGAGACTGTCCTAGAGTGACACTACAGGGTGTCCGGAAAGTCCTGGCGCTTCTTTTGGACGCCGTGTAACGCGCGCTGTGATTATTGGACATTCAGCCAATCATCACAGACATGACCCCTCGTTGATTGCTCAGCCAGAGGTCGTGTAAATATGACCTTGAAATCGTTTTCAGTGATGGGTAGATGGGCGAAGATGCGCCTTGTCGCTGAATGCCTACGCGCGGCGGCCGGGTGCGACTTGAACGAGGCTCGAGTTGCAGCGCGATGCGGCGTTTTTCGATGAATGGTTTAGCAGGTAAAGGTTTATTTCGACTCGGGAATTCCTTAGAAAATATTCTCAGACCGTTTCGAACGCGATATGGGAACGGAGCAGCATTTCAGCGCGGCAATCGAAGAAAGTGCGGGGGTCTGATGGACAAAAATGTCCCATCATCTTCGTCAATGTCGAATAAATGAATAACAGGCTGGCCCACGAGGGGTTCCTGGACAGCCACATCAACCCGAGGGTCAAGACGACATGCCCTAAGGGTCACTTCGCATTTCAACAGCACAGAGCACCCTCCAACAACGCCGCTGCCATTCAAGCTAAACTGACAGAGGAGCTTGCCGGGCCAGATCACCGTGGCGAAATGAGATCAGGCCGCCTTATTCTCCTAACCTGACCCGCTCGACTAAGGCGTGCTACGCGTTTTGTAGAACAGGATCTAGGCCATTTCTCACCCCAACCTGGAGTCGCTGAAGACTCGCATCATGACAGCATGGGAGGACCTGGAAATGCCCCGCATCGTCAAAACCCGCAGACGCTTCCTCCCCTACGTCGAGGCCGTCGTCGGCGCCGACGGTGGTTACATTGAATGAGCACGTAGCGGAAGCATGTGGCTTGGTGTCCCTGGTCATTGTTTTGATCCATTGATTAGTATCTATGAACCAATGGCATTTGTTTTAGAAAATGTTGAAAAGCGCCAGAACTATCCGGACACCCTGTATAACCCGGACTCTCCACTGCCGGGCTGAGCTGCGGCTCCCGCTGCCTCCATGTGGCTACCGGTGCCGGTGCCGGCGGCGCTGGCCACAGGTCAGAGGTCGCCCGCCGCCGGCGGCCGCAGCCAGTTCAGACGGATCCAATTGCCGGTAATTGGCCGAGCAGTGGTGTCGGCGCGGTCCCGGGGATCAGGTGAAGCCGACCGCTCCGGAACTGAGGCGCCAGGTCCGGCGCCGACGGGACCCGCAGACGAGCAGAGCTCCTTCGATCTTACCCCGAGTTGAGAGTCTTAATCCAGTTAAAAAAGCGCAGTTTGATACCAGTCTGCTTCGGTTTTTGGACAGTTTGCTGCATGCCAAATCCTATGTTTACACTACCGATCGATTACGATGCCGATAAAACACGGCTAGTAAACACTGCGACGTGCGAAAGCGGTATCACTACTGGAGATTCTAGCAAAGCAGCACTCGAGGCGGAGACTGCAACGAAAAGCAATACGCTAACACCAAGCGGAGACTGCAACGTAGAGAAGTACGCTAGCACTAAGACGAATACTGCAGCGAAAAGAAATGCGCTAACACTTTTGGGGGACTGCAACGCAAAGCAGTACTCTAACACCAAAACGGAGACTGCAACGCAAAGTAATACTCTAACGCCAAGACAGAGACTGCAACGTAGTACTCAAACATATCGCCAAGCAAAGCTCGCGGCATGCTCTCGGAATTTGCATTCGCTTTCCAACACTCCGCGCAGGTTCGAGAACGGAACAGGGGGTTTTATTGAAAATATTATTTTGTGTTCATGGGTCAGGCTGGCAGGTATTGCCGATATAACATACCGAAAAGACGAATTGATAGGAATGCAGCTGAACGATCGGCTCATGACAGGGCGGTAGGCATGCTAGGAGCAAGAGTTTCATTTATATTTCAGAATCATATGTGAAGACACTAACATGTGTTTTAACCCACACGAAGCTTAAGATGCGTCAATCTGATTGGCACTTGCCCTGTTTTTACATTGTCCATAATAAGGGTGTTCGCATGGAGGCGGAAGCAATTCTGACCACCTGTGACTTTTGCTGCGAATTCCTTCTCTGTCCCAGAATTTGTAGGTAAACACTCAGGAAAACTGTAAGACAAGCTGTTAATCCCAATGTCACAAATAACAGTCCCATTTCCTTGAAAACAGTCCATTGAGGTCCTCAACCTAAGCCGCCGGCACCGGTTCAATGAACCAGGGCTACGTTGTGCATTTGCAAGGACCGTACATACCCCTAATCTCCACTGCGATCGTGTCAAAACTCTTAAGAATCGGGCACGTTGCACCCAAATTACATCACTAATGCCTGCGTGTATTTACAGCTGGAACAACGCACACCAATTGTTTTCCTTGTGAGAAAAGTTTTCTGTTAAAACTTAAATGTGTACTGTCTTTTATCTTGGAACATGGGGACATTCAGGAACAGCAGCGTTGTTAAAAAAAAACTGGCTAATAATGCTTGCAAAGGTAACTTGCACCGCAAGTGAAAGGTTGGATCACCCGGAAGACCTAATGGCTTCGGTAAACAATTTACGCTCGCCTGCTGGCTGCCAGTTGTCACTTGCTAGTTGCTATAGCGACATTTTGCACGCATCATCGAACACATGCACTGGCGAGTTGTTATACCTATCAGGTAGCTGCCAAGCTGGCTCCTCATGCAAAATGAACACATCGTCATGTGTTCCATGGGCATTCAGCCATACTTGTCCCCACCCACTCGTATGTATTCACAGGGTGTTTTCACAAACAGGATGAATGAATCGATTGGATGTCGGTCGAGAGAAGTGAAAACGAATATATTGGAACTTTCCTGAGAGCACCTGTTCTTTGTTTGTCGGGGCGACTCACGACAACTTTGAATATGCCTTCTGAGTAACGTGAGAAGGTGTCGGTGCCATATGGCTGTTGTCGCTCTCTCTCTCTCTCTCTCTCTCTCTCTCTCTCTCTCTCTCTCTCTCTCTCTCTCTCTCTCTCTCTCTCTCTCTCTCTCTCTCTTTCTCTCTCCCTCTCCCTCCACCTTACCGTGACTGACTGCTCTTCGCCGCCGCTGTGGTTCCTGCCGTGCCTGCTCCATTGAAACTTGTTGTTGTAGATGAGTATCTGGGAAATTGAACTGCCGGCTTACACGCACTGGTCTGGGGAGATAACTGGTTCGAGAAGAGGTGACGACCCGGCCGGCCCGGCCATCGCGATCATCTGAGGATTCTGTCGACGCTCCGACCGGACCGAGTGACCTATACGACCGAGCGTGGTTTATGGCAGTGTTTCGACATGGATAAACGGGTTGAGGAGGTATGTCCGCCTCACTATGTCGCTCAGAATGACACTATACTCTGTTCCGTTTCAAGTTTGCAGCCGAAGTGCCACGCTGAAAGCAGTGCGTGATTTCTGTATATACAGCTCTTACATTTTAAGACATAAATTGTTGAGCGGAGGAGCGATCTGCCGAAGAAACTCCGACTGCAAGCTTGATAAGAGACAGACTATAGCGAAGATGAGGGAACTGGACACAGAAACGTTGCGCATCGCTCTTAACCTTATGGCATGGTATGGCAATGACCATACCATGCTGAAAATATCAGCTCCCGTCCAACCACTGAAGTAGTGACATTCCCACTTTGACTTCGAATCTTTCGGATCCTTTAGCTTTTTCTCGGAAGTTACAGTCGATAAAATACAAATGATCGATTCGACTGGCCATTAGAATTTTCATGCAGTCTCTCGTTTTATTTCCCCCGGGGTACTACCAACGCGGTATCATCAACGCAGGTGGTCAGCATTGTTGGAGCGACAACAATAGCGCATGTATGTTGCGCGCGTGATCGCTGCCGCCGCCATCGCCGCCGCTCTGCTCAGGTCCCTTCATTAGACGGCGATTAAGAAGCTCCTGGCACGATGCCGCCGGCCGGGGAAAGTGCCCCGCTATTGTCCGTGCCGTGTAAAATGCTAAACAGAAGCGACAGCGTGCGTTCGACGGCCATTGTCCTCGGTGTGTTACAAGTTTTGAATCACGGTGCTGTGCATTTTATGGTCCAAACATCTGCGCCTCTGGTCGAGGGTGGAACAATGCCAACACGGTGCTGGGGTTAAATGACGTTGAACAGCTTTATTAGAGCAAAGACTAATGGGTGGAAGATAAGAAGTTGTGCTTCATGTGCGTACGCTTTCGTTCAATTTTCGTCATATGAGCTTGCACAGCCGTGTAACTGTGTGCCTGACCAGTGACTAGCCTATTATCTCTGTCTGTCAGCTCACAGCTGTGTCTGTTCCCTAACTGTCTGTCTCCTGTGTCTGCAGGTGCTGCTGGTCTTCGCCACGTTCCACTGACTGTCTGTCTCCGCTATCTGCAGGTGCTTCTGGTGTTCGGCACGTTCCACTGACTCTCTGTCTCCGCTGGCGCTATCTGCAGGTGCTTCTGGTGTTCGGCACGTTCCACTGACTCTCTGTCTCCGCTGGCGCTGTCTGCAGGTGCTGCTGGTGTTCGGCACGTTCCTGCCAGACCTGCTGCCCGACTGGCCGATGGAGACGATCGCCGTCTGGCTCAGTCTGGCCGAGGGTATCCTGCTGGCGCCGCTGCTGGTCGCTGTCGACCCCGTGCTGCGGCTCTCGGTCCGCAGTGCCTACACCAAACACAACACGGACGAGTACCCAGGTAGGTGTGTAATGAGACTGAGTACACTGAACACACTGAACACAACACGGACGAGTACCCAGGTATGTGTAGCGGGAGAGTTGTGCCTAGTGCCTACATCAAACACAACAACGACGAGTACCCAGGTATGTGCGGTGATAGTTACACAGCGCCTGCACCAAACAGAGCCCCGACGAGTACCCAGGTAAGTGTACATATAGGGAGAGTTCAAGTTGTGCCTAGTGCCTACATCAAACACAACACGGACGAGTACCCAGGTAGGTGCATATACTGAGAGGTGCTACACTGAACACAACATCGACGAGTACCATAAACTTTTGTAATATATCTTAGCTATCACTTAAATATAAATGTTGCAAGCAAGGTATTATTTATTCAGGAAGCAGGTCAGTAGTTGGAGGCTCCTATATGTACTGTGTGTATCGACGAACGTCTTAGACCCAAGAACAAAACTACTGCGAATAAGTTATTTTCAGCCTTCCTCATTGATATGTCTGGTTTCATGCCAGCGTGGCATCAGTCTTCGCGTCATTCGCGTGACATGGTAGCATTTCCAGCTGTTTATCACAGAATAATTTGCATCGTTAAATCTTTTTTTTTTTTGCTCCGCCAGCCTAAAGCCAGTCTGGAGCCGGGGGTCATTACATCTGGCAATTTTGGCCAGGAACAAAGTTTTACGTTAAGCCGGTTTATGTTAACCCGGAAGCAATAGCAACGTGGGAGCCTATCCTTAGCGTGTGTGAGCAAATCTAATGGGGAAACTTACTTTTGCCGAAGTGCCGAAAAAGCCGGAACAAAAAACACAGATGAAGAAACGGTAACATTTATTCACATCACATATTCATACACTTGTGCAAGGTGTCAGTGTACTGGTGTGGGGTGTATTGGTCAGGGAAAAAGTCCTAAATAACAAAAAACCTGACGCCTATTGCAAAGGGGAAAACCCCGCGCTGAAGCCAAAGAGCGCAGGGAAAAACCTACACTTGTTTAATCTAATGTGTAGGAGGCAAAAGGGAATGGATAATGACGGCCCCGTGCTGGGGTGGGGCGCCCGGCGACCACAGGCGTACTAACACCTTGGCCGCCAGTCGGCGTTGGCTTGTTAAATTATTGTTTCTTTCATTGTTATACTCATGCTTCCAACGAACTTCAAATGGTTTCTCATTTTAACCAATTCTGAAATAAACTGAACCGCTGCCAGACTGGTATTTGGTCAGAAATCGTAATAAGAATGACTAATAACCTTTAGCTGATAATAAGGGAAGCCAAAAACTAATCCAAAATATATTTTCGGTGCTGGACCTTCTTCAGTGGAATGACATAAACACAGAACAGTGACTTTTGCAATATTGGTATGTAATTAACGCACTTGTAAGAGTAATGAAGGTGTTTCAGGGTAAACGTATCACATTAATAAAAAATCAAGATTTTTGAAACAGCAAGATAGACTGCATTCGATCAAAACGCTACCATAAGTATCTATCACAGTTCATACAGCTCATGTACAATCGCTACAATAAATATGCATCATAGCTCATAAAAGAAAGAATAATGTATGTCGTCCTATCTCACTGTGTCCGATCAGTATTTCGAATACTTTTAGTTAAAGTGTGCACGCCATGCAAACATTGTCCACTCCATTTGTAGGTAACCGCCGGCAAAATTTCGGCAAATGAACACATACTCAGATGCGACCCAGACTTCAGTAATGACCCTTAGTCTGAGAATGATGACGGGTGCGGCCTGTGGCCCAGTTCGCTAACGATGTGACCCGCCCCTAGGCCAAGCCGGAGAGGAGCCGCGGCCCAAATTGTCCCCAAACACTCTCTCAGTAGGCACCTCAGGATGGCTGAGACCTATATACAAAAATAAAGATGGATATGAAGCATTTATTTTGCCATTCTGAATTCCGGAGTCGAGCATTAATAATAAGGTGTTTAAGTTATTATTTACGTCGGAGTCTTATCCGTCCACATTAGTCATTATCTACGTTACCCGATGTCATTTCAATTCCTCGGTCCATATGTATTTCCGGTCTTGCCTTTTCCCGATCCTGTTCATGCCGTCTCCAGAATGGATGCAAGAAGTCCATTCTCCTGATCGGTATCCCGTAGCCTTCTCGGATACCACAGCGTCATTATCCTTTCTCAGAGACCACGTTGTCATTTCCCTCAGTTTTGTTTACCTAGCCTTCCTCGGTATTTCAGTTTCTCCTCCGCCTGCTCATTTACCTGATCATTAGGTTCTCTTCCTCTCCATTCTCCATCTCCTACCCACCCAAGTGGCTCTCATTAAAGCTCGAGGAAGCGTCGCATATCATCTTCTCCGCTTCCGACTCCACCTCGTTACCGCTCCCTCTGTCTCATCTCCCTCCCTCTGTCTTGTTATCCTCCCTCTCTCTCACCCTCCTCCTCTCCTCTGACCCTCAGTCTCTGTGTGTCCTCTGTTTCTGCGTTAGGTCGCACCCTGACGAGCTGCCTCCCTGAGATGGAGTGCCCTCGGAACGCGAAGTGGCGTTCCTCTCGAGCACAATGGGCGCATGTGTCGGGTCAGGGGGGGGGGGGGGTCGGGACTGCCCCCAGCCGCCTTCGTGAGCGGGCGTGATCGAACACGGAAGGCGGGAATCGCAAGATGGGAGCTAGACAGCGGGAGACGGAAACAGGGAGACGGAGGGGAGATGGAGAGATTGGATGTCGGGACTCGCATGCTGGTCGCGTCATGGATGACTAAAAAAGGAGAGAACAGACGATAAACAGAAGAAAAATGCGGTCAGAAGGAAGGACCACATGGGCACAACCGAGGAAAGCCTGATGAAAATATGATCCCCTATAGCTGCTTAGCTTCAAACTGGTCCGTGCGCTTTACTGAATGTTCGCTTGCATTTCCTTCCATCCATTACGTTAGTAATAAGGGTAAAGTGCAATGCATTGGAACACCCTTGCGCACAAGTGCACTATTGTTGCCTTTCCAGTTTCAGCCATTCTGTGTTATGCCATATTGAAATGCCTGAACGCATCTGTATTTTCACTTTTGCATTCTCTGAAGTCTGAACTGTGGACGTTTCTCAAGCCCGCATATACCAGACGGTTGCCTAAGTTGGCACACATGTTGCAGTAGGCATTGTGTTTGAATTTCCAGCCGTAGCTGCTACCTTTATCATGTAATGTTTTCGGTTGGAGGCCCCTGAAACAGACCAGCTACTTGGAACTCAGCGTGCCTGACGTAAATCGTTTGACGCAGTTTTACTCCGACAAACACGCTTTCTTCACGAGCTGCATGCAGGGCGGGTAGAAATGGGCATATGGAATCATGCAACGTGAAATGTTGCATGCGGAGACTAAGATCTCCAGCTTACCAAACACCTGCTTTTTCAGTGACATTTCGGAAACAGACAGGAGACAATCAGCTTGAGCTGTCTGCAAAGAATTGCTTATTGGTGTAGGTGCGCCTAAGTCGTTCACATCGACTCAGAGTCGATGATACGTTTCATTTATGTCCTATTGACCTTGGCAGATTACAGGGAGGTATAATTGAAGATTCCTCCGTAATTAGAGGCCGAGAAATAAGAAGCGATCACTTTATCGAACGCCTATACATGCTTGACATAGATACACCGCCCTTCTCTTTTTTTGCCGCAAAACATCACGCTTTACGATGCTCACACGCTCGTAACTTTGCGTAGTAAATTTGGCGCTCGCCATCACGGCTCCATCCGCAGCAATGGCGAGCCTGATCACAGGATAATCGCCCCGGACCGATGACTGCAGTTACACAGGATGCACATCGCGTCTCTGTCCTCTCTCTCTCTCTCTCTCTCTCTCTCTCTCTCTCTCTCTCTCTCTCTCTCTCTCTCTCTCTCTCTCTCTCTCTCTCTCTCTCTCTCTCTCTCTCTCTCTCTCTCTCCTCTCTCTCTCTCTCTCTCTCTCTCTCTCTCTCTCTCTCTCTCTCTCTCTCTCTCTCTCTTTCTCTCTTTCTCTCTTTCTCTCTTTCTCTCTTCTCTCTCTCTCTCTCTCTCTCTCTCTCTCTCTCTCTCTCTCTCTCTCTCTCTCTCTCTCTCTCTCTCTCTCCCCCTCGCTTTCTCCCTCTCTCCATTCCCTCTTTCTCCTCATGCTTCATTCGCGTAATTACATATTGGTTTGTTTGGAAGCTGAGCCGTCTTGATACCGTTCATCTGACAGTGACCTGGACCAGTGCACCTTCAACGATGACTTAGTTTGCAGCATTGCGGCCTTAACCAAAATTCTGCATTAACCGATTACGTGGCTTAATTCTTTCGGTATGCGTAGTGGATCTTTGCCTCACACCTAAATATATTTGTCGTTGTATTGTTACTTACTCTTGTCAGAGGACGTGTTAATGTGTTCATTGCTCTTTTAGGCCACCATTTCATGTCTTGCGACTTGCATGAGTGGTTTAGTGCTTGCACGTTGCCTGTTGGGCAAAGAAAATCACAAAACTATTAACACGTTCTCGCATTGTGATGTGATGTATTGCCCTTGAGTGCATTATATCTACGATTTAGTGCAAGGCATCAGTCAGTAGGTATTAGATGACCAGCGGTTGCCTCACACGCGAAGTGTAATGTTCACTCATCGACGCATTTCGTATTCAGATACTGCTCTTTTATTCGTTACGTTACCCAACACGATGCGTTGCTAAAATTCCCGCTCAGTGTAAGTCATGTCCTCATGTCACAACTGAGGAGTGGCCGACCCATAAACGCTGATTGTTCGACATTAAATCAGCGAGACTGTCGGTGCAGACGCACCTGGATGTCAAACAGGGACTGTTGCCGGGCTCAAATATCAGCCGTTGCGTGTCTGTAACCGCTGATGGCATACCGATTGCCGATTAAAACAAATTAGCGAACAGTGAACGGTAGGATTGCGTGCCGAAAACTTTAGATTTCGTCGGCATGATAGATACCTACCTTTAGTGATGTGAATTTCGTAAAGTCGATTGATGGCTAATGTATGCAAGCTTTACCACCTACATCTTGCATAGGGCTTGCAGGCGATTCACCGATAGGTAAAAAGCGAAGCATGAGGGTGCTTCACTTTTAGTTGCGGCACAAAGCTGATGGAAATTGTATCAGCTTTATGCCGCAACTATAGCGAGCTGAAATCGAGTGAATGGAAATACTGGCCGTTTTTTTGAAAGATGTGTTAGGCATGAGTCTTGCAGAACATTACGCAAAGTTCATGCCAGGCACAGTTTTACATGACTTATTTTGATGAATGCAACAAATTGATTTTTTAAAGCCAACTTCACTTTAACTTCAGGGTGTCTCACTATGACTACACTACATATAAGGTGTAGTTAACTCCTTTTCCAGAGTCCATCCGCACATAAAATTTTAATTTTTACGTCTTACAATTTTATGTAGGTATTCCTGTTGCTATGTCACAAATTCGTGTAAATTACTGCGGGGCATTCAGCCAACGTAGTGCAACCATTACTAATAAATAATACCTACCTACTATAATAGCTTTGAAAGAAATGCCGCCTGATGCCCAAACAAACACCAGCTTCACCACCAATCACACACCCCACCCCAGCATTTACCTCCACCTATTTCACACACACACACACACACACCTCGCTCCGTCTCATGGTGTTCGTCTATCCATCAGCCGACGTTCCGCCACTGACAGCGGCCCATCCATCTCCATTGACACCTCTCAGCTGTCACCGACGCTCGCCGCTCACACCCGTCGCCGCGCCGGGCCTCTCCGGGTCCCCTGAGCTCCCCCCTATACGATACACTCGATTATAATTCCGCGGCGCAGCTCTGACCCAGTCCAAGGCCGCGGGTAACGGCCGTTTGTCATGTTTAGAGGCGAAGGCGTGTGGTGTGCGTGCCATTCTCAGTGGCTGAGGGCTGACATGTCGTCTGTCAACAGTAGCGCGTCCCAGTCTGTGGACGACTGGGATGAGCGTGACCACTGCGGCGGAACACCTTCAATTAAGGGGGGGGGGGGGCACTGCCGACTTTGGTCCCATTCTTTCCATGCAACGCCCATAGGGCTAATGTTAATATGCCAAAATCAAAGGGGGGCACGGTGCCCCGGTGCCCTCCCCGTTCCGCCGCCTAGCCCTATTCCTGGCGGGGGGCCTCAGGAGCCCCCCCTGAGGTTTTTTGGTTATTTCTCCCAAACGCGTTGAGCTAGGAAGCTCAAATTTTCTGACTTTTCCTAAAAGGCTTCTACGCAACATGTCTGAAAATTTTGAGTTGATCTGACCTCAGGTCAGGTCACCAGAGGCGGTTTGGTGACCCTACCTCAGAAAAGTTTGCAATCACGCCAGAGCTAGAGTTTTTGACCGATCAATTTCTTCTCTTCAGGCTTTAGTTAGGGTACCAGTATGTGCAATTTGTATATCTCGGAATTTTGATATCGGTGACCTAAGGTCAGGTCAGTTTCGCGACCTCCCCATTATAAGTCAATGGTGGAAAAATCAACTCCCTGTTTTTACCACTAAAACGGGTCGGAATGGCCCCATATACCATACATGACTTCATATACGATCAACCTTCACTACCTTGAGGTCTGTTTTGCTGTTGGGCAGCTGTGAGGTCATGTGACGTCATCAAAGGTCACCAAAGGTTTTTGGCCAATAACTCCGTACAGGAACAAGATACAGACGCGTGGATGGTCTCATTGTGTTCAGCTCGTCAAGACGCATCGAATGATATACATGATGACCTCGAGGTCACGTGACCTGAGGTCAACCTTTGACCTTGACCTTGCGAGGTCAACATATATATCATTCGATGCGGATTGACGAGAGGATCACGATGATGCCCTTAGTTTGTTCCTATCTTGACTAATTCGAAAGTTATTCGAGAAAAACTCTCCATATCTAGCGCCGCCATTTTGACTTTTTCGACCCCTGTGACGTCATCTTTGACCTGACCTGAAAATGACCTTAGTAAAAATTGTAGATCTTGACCGTGCGTATCCGATGCCGTTTACCGTTTGTCGCTATCTTGCTTCGTTCTCGAGATCTCAGAGGGGGGCCGAATCGCCCCCCCCCCCGCCAGTTTCTTGTCCCGGCGGAGCCCGCCAGGAATAGGGCTAGAGCGTGACGGGGAATGGACTGATGGTAGAAGCCAAGTCATGGATCGGAAAACGTGACAATAAAAATAGCAGGCTGACCTGATGCTAGTCCTCGTCGTAACTGCTGGCGTTTATTTGATAGCTTGCTCGAGACGGTCATGCGGAGATCACGTCTGAGGCTAGCGTAACTCATTAGTAATTTTGTCTCACTCTCAGCGCAGACGTTGTCTCATTCTCTACACGAGTCTCTCCATCACTCACGCCTCATGTCTCCCTCTCCTCCTTGCGTACGGTGTGCTCATCGTTCATTTTCCGTGTCGCCTGCCATGTGTGGGCGAGCTGGCCGCTGAGTTTTCTCTCTCCCTGTTCCGTTTCAGGAGTGGCAGGTCCTCCGTTTCGCGGACGCGGAAATGACCCGGCGCAGACAGCCGAGGCCAAGTTTCCCATCACGAACGGCTCTCTGTTTTCTCTGCAGGACGGCACATCACTGCATGCAGGTGCGGCGGGTTGTGCGAACGGAGGATGGGGCAAATTGTGGCTAATTTATGATCACTGTGTGGTTGGGCAATGTGTAATGTCGCTAAAATTGGTGCCATAATGGTGATGAGGCCAATTTTATTTCGTAATGGAAACGAATTGTTAGTTAATTTGTGATTTATTAAATGCTGTTAACCCAGTGCTTGTTTGGCCAAACGTCATTTCTAGGTGCTTAGCAACGACTGTGCGAAAGGGCGAGTCCTCTTGTCAAGGCTGTGCGAATGTTGCTGTTTGTATCTTACCGCTATTTGGTCTGCGGATGTATGTATATTGGATGGCATTTTTACTGCAGATCATGTACCTACCGGGCACTCGCAGATGGTTGTAGTGCGAGTAGATCTCTGCTGCCCAAAGATCGATCTTTGAGTCATAATGGTGTCATTCTAGCCTCTAAACCCTCCTCTAACCTACCTGATAACCCATGCCGCTGCCCGCAGGTCGGTCTCGCAGCCTGAAGATGGGTGTCGGCATGCTCGGCGAGCCGGCCAACAAGGCGCCGCGCTTCCTGCCGACGCTGTACGACCCGAGTCGGTCGGCGCCGGCCGCTGACACGCGCTCCGAGCCGCTCTACTCGGACCCCATCACCAAGGCGGCCAGTCTGGACAGCATCATCAAGTGTCTGCCGCCGGGCGACGAGCCGATCTACGCCACCCTCAGCACGGGCCGACGCAGTCCCGAGCGGTGTAACTCCGCCACCACCATCGCCAACGACGACTTCGAGTTCCGCGGATCGAAACGCTTCGGCGGGAAAACGGAGAGCAGGAGAGAGACACCTGAGCAGCCGGCGAGGGCCGACCAGATGAGCATCTGCTCCACGGCCACCGGTGTGACGATCCGGGTCGAGGGGTGCCCTCCGCCGGCGCCCCAGGGCCCCCCGGCGCCGCCGCCGCGGCCCAGCCTGAACCGGCCGCGCGCAGCCGCCGCCAGCTCGCTCAAACGCAAACTGGCGCTGTCCATGAACGACCTGGACGTGGCGGGAGTGGCGGAGGAGCGCCCGCCGGCCGCGGCCGGACGCATGTCCTGCTACGGCGTGCCGTGTGTCAGTGAGACAGACCTGAGCGGCGGCCGAGCGCCGGCCGGGGACGGCTCGCCGCGGCAGCGCGCCAGTCCCCGCGCCACCGCCCAGCGCGCCATGCGCTACAAGAAGTCGGCGCCGCGCCGCCGGTCCCGCGACGCGCCGGTGCGCTCGGCGATCGTCCACCGGCAGGGTCACAGTCTGCTGGCGCTGAGCGGCCCGCGCGCCGAGCACCGGCTGCAGCGCGCCGAGATCGTCTCCGTGGAGGCGCTCAACCAGGCGATGGCGCTGACGCCCTACTCGTATCTGGACAATGGCGAGGTGTACCGCCACCACTCGCGCAGTGTGCCCGACTTCCAGAAGGTGTTCATTAGTGGGTTCCTGTGAGCGCCAGCTGCGGTCAGAACGAGTGACGTGCCACCTGCCGTCGGCTCGGTGTCACGACTTCCCCGATTGGCAGCGGCAAACACGGCACCGGAATGTCCGTGATGGATATGACAAAACCGCAGCTCTAGAGCGGCCGTGTCGGGCACAATTTTTATCGGGGGATGTTTTATACCGAGCACGAGCTCAGTGGTTGCATTGAGATGCAAGTGGTGACGCCTGGTGGCCGATTCACCAACCAACCTCAGCCGCGCCCACCGGTGTGGCAGTATTAGTGATGTTAGTGAGTTTGGCGGTGAGCCTTCATGCTGACAGAGTGTGTGAGAGGATCGAGTATGATTGTGCGTTGAGTAACTCGATGCAGAAATAACTCTGCGACTGTTCTGGAATCGACTCAGCGGACCGAGCCGACCGTGTAGCGACGATTTACGTAGAGGTTTCAACGTTTTGTACATAAGCGCTGCAGGCTAGCGCTAAAGTGAGCGAGAATGGCAAGTATTTTCCTTACTGTTGTGATGGATAAATGATTTCTCAAGTGTATATTGTAGATGTGTCGATGTTTTTAATTTTTATATGAATTGTGCTTTGTGAATTAGTATATATTTGTATAATTTTGTGTCTTCTGTATCGAACCTTTTCAATGAAAGCCATCAAATAAATATACCTACTTTATACCTGCAACCTGTGTGATCTGTGCTGGTGGTAGGTAGGCGGTCATGTCATTGCAGCGTCAATTATCAAACCCGTATTTTGGTGGTCACAAAATGGTGGTATTTTGAATGTCTTTTTTATTAATTCTACGAAGGCTAAACGCCAATTTCTCTAATAAAGTGTGCTAACGAATGATAGAACGAAAAAACTGCATACATCACATTTCCATCGAAGAACCACATCAGTCGCTGCAGTCGCTGGCTCCAATCAGTGCTCAGTTGAGTGGTTCTGTGCAGTTCTGTGTGCAAGGTGTGTGCACTTAGCGCCACCTGTATCATACAAAGCTACTATACAGCGCCACCTAGCAGCAAAGGTTTCTCTTCATTTGCTTTAGGCATGAATTTCCATGAAACACATTGCAACACAATGTTACTCTTGAAGTGAATTAAGTTGATAATTTGCTTATATTTATTTTCATAATAATTTTATATATATATGATTTATATTAGAAATCATTTGACGATCGAACGGCATAGCATTGAATTTCCGTTTGTTCCTATGCACAGAGGAAGTTCGGATATGGAAGTACAAACTGCAGAATGGCTGAAATAGTGCTGCCAAATGCACCCGGCAAGATGACGAACTCGGCGATGGGGTCGCTGAGGCATATCCCACTAATATTCATAATTTTATGTTGTTTTATAGCCAAATGCTATTCAGATGGTATCCTGGGATGTGGTGGATTCGTCAGAAGCTCTGTTGACATTGAATATTCCAAGGTTCAGGTGAAATTGTAAGTATTATGCTTGCTCATTGCAAGTCATTTCGTGGCGCATTCGTCTTTGAAGGCAATTTTATGGTAATATTCAAAGTGGATTCTCAATAAATCCTAGCTCAGACCATTTCAAACTCATGTGCACATAACAACCATAGAAAATCATATTAAACTTGAAACATTTAAAATAATTGTAAGGGTCAGATGCATTATTGTTCCTCGGGATTTTAATTGTTATATGAAGCTAGTTAGTAGCACAAATGTGAGTTGATGAACAAATGCTGCATTTCAGATACACAAAACAAGGTAGCCTGAAGTATCAGACAGATTGCGCACCCAATAATGGGTACTACTTCATGCCCATCTATGATAAGGGTGACTACGTCATCAAGGTGAGTTCACAAAGCTGCTTTATAAATTCATATGAAATGTTCAGATGGATTTTTTGGCAGCATCTGGGGCCATACTCATAGCACAAGTCTTGAAAGATAGGAACATCAGTTTCCTATTATTGCTGGAATGATATTGGCAGCCTTCTGGCCCACCTTCTCACCTCCAAATGACCTGTGACTTGGCCGCTGGCACTGACCCCTAACCCCTGCTGCAGCTGGCACCTCCCGATGGCTGGAGTTTTGAGCCATCAGAGGTGGCCCTCAGCGTGGACGGCGAGACAGACATGTGCTCTCAGGGACAGGATGTTGACTTCACCTTCCAAGGGTTTGGAGTCACAGGACAGGTATGTAAAACTCTAATATAATATAGAAGCTGCTGCTGTTGTCTGCCAGTTTGAACACCATGCTTTTCTGCTTTGCTCATTCACTTAAATTATAACTGACTCATGTGGACATATCTACCACTAAGCATGTGAACATGCCTTTGTTGGTACTTACCTATAGCTTTTCACTACCCCATGCCCTGTTTGACAGCCCTTGCCCACCCCAAGTATGACTGACCATGGTGTCTGTCCGTCAGGTCATCAGCCTGGGCTCCACCGAGGGTCCGGCCGGAGTCACTGTGACCCTGACCTCGACCTCGGACCGGGACCGGCTCAAGACGCAGGTCACCACCGGACCGGCCGGACGGTTCACCTTCAGTCCCGTGCCGGCTGGCGATTACGAGGTGCGTCCCACTGCCAATAGTGTTCCGACATTGGGTGACCGGACGAGGGGGATTGTTTGACGCGTCGAAGCGCTGTTATCGAGACTGTATGTGAAATTGAAGATGAAGTGGAGTATTTATTAGGTTTACCGATGCATAAAATATCACAGGCGTGAGAATAAAGTAGGGTACATTGCTATTATCATTTTGTGATGGTCTTGTCGCATTACAAAAGTTTGCACTTAGGTAGGTGATATCTGTTTCTCCCATGCACACCTGGTTCTACTAACTACCCCACCCAGTGGTTTCCTACAGCTCTGACATACGACCTCTGACGCCAGGTGACGGCCAGCCACCCTGCCTGGAAGCTGGCGCGCCACCGGACCCAGGTCTCCGTGAGAGGTGACAATGGAGACGTGGGGACGCAGCTGGCCGTGGCCGGGTTCGACGTCTCCGGAAAGGTGCGGACCGGTGGGAGCGGCATGCTGTCAGACTCTCCTCAGATCACTGTTGTTGACTTGCCATGCTTTGTTTTTGAATGGGTTACATTGTGATTTCACTTTTGTTGAAAGTTAAACTGAACTGATGGGTTTATTTGGCCATGTGTTAAAGTGTGTTTTTGATAAGTTATGGGCGTCATCGATACACTTTTCTGACGTCACCCCGACCCGTGCCCCTCCCCAGGTTGTGACCGGCTCCTGTCCTGTCTCTGACGTCACCCGTCGTGCCCCTCCCCAGGTTGTGAGTGGCTCCGAGCCGGTGTCTGACGTCACGTTCGTGCTGCACGGCCGGCGGACGGAGGCGGCGCCCCTGACGGGCTGTGAGGTCTCGCCTGCAGCGGGCTACACGGCCCGGTCGGGCCTGCCGCCGGCGCTCTGCAGGGTGGTGTCGGACGCTCAGGGACGCTTCGTCTTCCCCGTGGTGCCGAGCGGAGAGTGAGTGGGGGAGGGAAAGGGAGCTGAACCCTGGCATGTCGTAAACCGACGTCAGAATAAGATAGAGGTATGTCAGGCTATGGTGGTAACATATGCGATGTTTTGTAGGTATCTGGTCGGTGGTGCTCCGGTAATGTAAAAGCACTCGTCAGTTATTGATATTTTAACGTCCGATATGTCTGTACGTTCAAGCACCTATGTCCTGCATGTTGATTGAAGTTGATACCATTTAAATGGTATTGCTCTCTTGTACTCAGTTACGTGCTGTGGTGCTGGGTGTAATTCACATGTCTAACATTATACCCATTACCCACCTCCCCTACAGGTACGTGGTGGTGCCGTTCTACGCCGGCGCTCGAACTCGGTTCGACGTGCGTCCTACCGAGGTCGAGGTCCGCGTGGCGCAGGACAGTGCTGCCATCGGCGAACCGTTCCAGGTGGGTGTCCTCTGACGCTCCTCACGGCCGAGCGGAGCCAACTCCCGTCGATGACACGGTGATTGGCAGCTCCAGGGCCGCCCTGCGGGAGTTCGGGGATACGGCAGACGTCCGCCACTTGAATGGGGAATCTTATTGCTCGGGCCCACTACTGTGTTGTTTCTGAGACACCATGCCGTGCCATGGGCAGCGGCATGACGCTCCCAGATTCCATAGTGCATCAGAATTATTATTTCGACCATTAATTCAGGCCGATCAGTGCCCGTTATTTTGTATTTGTCGCAAGTAAATGGCACTCACTGTGACAGTTGTGGACCAGTTCTGTCAATCGAGCCGTAGGATCGCTGCCGATCATTGCCCAACACTCATGCTCCCGCATTTATCGCGCACACCTGACGTGCCTCTCCCTAATAAACTCTCACCTGTGCCCCTCCCCCTCCCCATTGTCCCGGTCTACAGGTGGCGGGGTACACCATCAGCGGACGGGTGCTGACATCTGTCGCCGGAGGGAAGAAGGTCGGACTAGGTGGCGCCACCGTACGGCTGGACTCCCGCAGCGTGGTGACTGAAAAGGACGGGTCGTACACGATCGAGGGCGCCAACAGCGGACAGTTCCGGCTCTCCGCCGAGGCCGGTACGTAGGGCGGCTCTCTGATGGTCCGGTGCCGCCGAGGAGAGGATGGGAGGCTAGAGAGAGGAAGGGTGGTGAATGAGGTCATGTTTGCGAATGGAAATTCAACGATAGGATTATTTGTTTGATGTGTAAAGGTGGGATGGCTCCTATTGTAATGATTGGTGTTATATGGGTGCCCAATTGATGTGATGTGTATGTCTTTACTTTGCTATCTACTTCCAGAGTCACGGTTAGATTCCATGAGCTGGTCCATTGCCGTTGAAATATGTACCCTCTAAACCCTAACAAACAAGAGCAACTAGTGAATCATCCTCCATCCAAAGCTATACCTAACACGGTTAATCATTGAGCGTTTTGGTCTCTGAAGATGATTATCTCCATTTACAAAGTCTGTTCAGTTTGAGCGTCACTGTGGTATCCTCGCCCGCGCCCCGCCGCAGACTCCGTCCAGATTGAGAGCCACCGCTGATTGCAGTCCCCACCCACAGAGTCCGTTCAGTTTGAGAGCCTCTGATGCATCATTGCTCACAGAGTCCGTCCAGTTTGAGAGCCGCACGGTGACGGTCAGCCCGTCGGCGCCCCAGCTGCCCGACCTCGTGGCCGCCGCGTTCCAGGTCTGCGGCAAGGTGGATCTCTCCAATCTGCCCGACGGCGTCTCCGCCGGACCCAGGTAGGTGCTCCATGTCCGCGCGATACGCTCAGCTGAGGCAGACGTGCATTATCATGTCAACGTACAATCGAGTCATCCTGTTCAATGCGAGAATCGAAATGCTTTAATCTGTGGTTGTGATGTTTTGTCGAGCATGGCTATGTATCTGCACTGACCGCACCTCGAACCAAACCGGACACGCTGACTCGGCCGCATTGCCCCAGGCACCACCATCCGCCACCTGTTGGGTGACGAGTCGCCCTGGGTTTTATCCGGCAGCATCTTTTCTTACATTCAATCCATCAGTTTTCCTGTGATATACTCGTTTTACTAGTATAACGTATCTCAAGTAGTTCTAGCGTTCGTCAGTTCTCTGTTCACATATCCGCTTTACCAGTACAGCGTTATGGGTGCAAAATGACCACCGCAGTCGACGCACCCGTAAACACTAATAAACAAACAATGACATCACTCCCTCACCTTTACTTTCAGGTCTGTGGAGTTTAAGGTGGCCGGCTCAGAGACGGCGTACACGGCTGTGACGGCTGCGGACGGCGCGTTCTGCACCTTCCTCCGTCCAGCCACCTACCGACTTAGAGTGGTCGTCTCCGAGGACGAGAGGAAACGGGGACTCAGGTGAGGACAGTTGGAGGAAAGAAACGAGGAGTTGTTATTGTAGGAGAGTTGGGTTGTAACGAGGAGAGTTGTAGGTCACAGTCACGTATCTGGACTGTTAAGTTGGGATTACACTGCATGGCATAATGTGTTATGAATATCAGGGCACTGAATATGTCCAAACAAAAGAGTGAAGTCGCTACTAGTTGCCCATTACCATTCGTTGTGCTTTGCGACTTATCTGCTCCTTTCCCTCCCGATTTATTTTTCGTGTCTGACGTGCCTCTCCCCCGCTGCGTCCAGTTTCGGCTCTGCGCAGCAGGAGCTGGCCGTGTCGGCGCCCGTCTCGGGGGTCGCCTTCTCGCCGTTCCGGGCGCGTGTCTCTGGCACCGTGCGCTGCCTGGAGTCGTGCGCCGGCCTCCAGCTGACGCTCAGTGCCGAGGGACTGCTGCCGCGCGCCGCCACCGCCGTCGCCGACGGACGGTTCGCCTTCGACGGCGTCCTGCCTGGACAGTATGAAGTCACCGTCACCAAGGTCAGTGGCGTCTCGAGGTGGATCGGTTCGTTGTGATGGAATAGGTTAGGCGGCATGGTTTGCGATAGAGGTGGCAAAAGATGAAAATGTTGGGAACCAGACTCGAACCAGACCCGTCTGGACATTTCTGGAACCAGTTGGACCCGGTATTAGTTGGAATCGGAACCAGTTGAACCCGTTCCCCAAAAGTCAATCAATACAAACTAGTTGTAGGTATCATTAGTTGCATCATGTAAAACAGCCTATTTCCCACTGGGAATACTCGTGAGCTACTGTGTGCAAAGGCACATTCACTTCATATTTTGCAATAATGTGTAGTGTGCAAGATGTGTAGTTTATGGTAGGACCCGGTTGGACCCGTCATAAAATTTCCAGGAACCGGTCTGGACCCAAATGGGTCCAGACTGGTTCTTTGGACCGGGTCCTCGGGTCCAGATTTTGCCACCTGTAGTTTGCGAGACGGTTTGATCGCTGTTCTAGCCCAGCTTGGTCTGATATCTGTATTTGGAAGTTATTCGGGTTTACATAGCATCTCATTTCGTATCTTAACTTTGTAACCGGCGTCTACGAAAAGATATTGGCTCTTAATTTTCTGGTCAGCTTTCCTTTGCAATAGCATCAGCAATATCTAGTGGGTTGAGCTCTTCTCTCGAGCCACCTTCCCGTAACTTCCCCCTGGTCACCTATCCCCGGTCTTTGTTCGTCGCTGCTGGAGGCATCCGTGTCTGCTATCCATCTCAGTTTGTGCATGCCCCAGGCCCCCAGCAGACCTCACGGCCGTCCCCCACCGCCCCGGCTCCCTCCCCTTACCCACCGTCTCGCTCCGGGCTCTCCGCGCTGTCCGGGCCGGCCGCCCGTTCTGGCGATCGCCGAAGCGATTGGCCATACAACATTGAGCGGGCCGCCGCTGGAACATGTCTGCGAGTTTCCCTTATTGTGCCCAGTTTCAGCGGGATCGGACGTGACGCGGCGGGTCCCATGGCCCGTACCGAAGTTTCCGATCGTTCAATCTCGGATTATTGTTTGCAGCTGGGGACGTGGGATTGTGAGGAAGCCGCACGGCCGGCCGTGCTGGGTGGATTTGGTTGAACTCTGTCGTATTGCATGGACTGCATGCACTACCACAGGGCATCTCATTTCATGACATCGCATAGCATTATTCCTGCATCTCATTCTAACGATCTTTTGATCCTGTATGAAAAAAAAAAACAGGTCATAGGTCTTTGGGGTCAGGGTCATGAAATTTTCAGGATATGTGTAAAATTAATTGATAACTCGATGACTACTAAAAGTTTCTCCGCGATCGGCCCCTTTTTTCACGAGTTATTCGCGAAAAAAAATGAGATGGTCCATCCGTCTCCCCCCCCCCCTATAATAAGCGCGAGGGCTAATTTGCCTCGGCTCCTGCAGTTTGTCGCGCCTCCCCTGTCTGGTCTGAACTCTGATCTGACGCTCTCCCCCCCCCCTCCCCCAGGACGAGTGGTGCTGGGCGGCCTCCTCCGTGCCGCCTCTGTCGGGTCTGACCTTCCCCGACCCCTCCCCCAGGACGAGTGGTGCTGGGCGGCCTCCTCGGTGCCGGTGACGGTATCCGCCGCGGACGTCACGGGCCTCCAGCTGATCCAGTCCGGCTACCGTCTCACACTCATCACCTCTCACTCCACCGAGATACTGTTCCGACTGGCCTCAGCCGGCTCCACCGCGCCGGCCGCGGACTATGCCACACTGACCGCCGGGTCCAACACGCTCTGCGTGCCTGCCGCCGGCGTGTACCAGGTGGAGCCGCGCGGCTGCCACCAGTTTCAGGAGCCGGCCCTGCGCGCCGACACGACCTCGGCCGCTCCGCTCGAGCTGCGCGCCGTCACCCACCGCGTCTCCGGCTCTGTGAGCTGCCGGGAGGCCACTAAAGACGTCCGCGTGCGGCTCACCGTGGAGACTGAGGTGACGGAGCTGGAGACTCGAGCTGAGGACGGCGGGAAGGTGCACCGGTTCTCCGTGCAGGCCCGGCCCGGGCAGGTGATGACCTTCCAGCCGCAGTCGGATACGATGCTGTTCACGCCGACGTACCGTCAGCTGACGGCGGGGGAGGACTGCGCGGACGAGGCGGTCACCTTCCAGGCCAGGAAAGGAACGTTCATCAGCGGTGAGTGGGCGGTCAGCCGGTCAGGCTAGGAATGGAGCAAGTAATGGGATAAGGGTGTGCTGGGGGATGGTGAGCGCCGGACAAGGATTTGAATTGAACTCATCCATCGGGTTTCTTATATCTTTCGAGAACTCCTGCGTGATCGATAGCTGAATTATTTATTGTATTTGCCTTTTGACAGTCTTTCATGTAACCCTGTGTCGTGCAGTATGAAATCCTGTAAATTATTCCCGTCTCTAACCCCGTACTCTCCCTGTCAGGTCGCATCTCGCCGTCGCTGGCCGGCGCGCGGATCACCGTCTCTGCCGCCGACATGGAGCCCGTCACTGCCATCACCGACGACAAAGGCGCCTATCAGGTCAGCGGGCGGCCGGTCTGCGTTCCGGCACGTGACACGGGGGCGAGGGGTGTCCCTGGATGATACAGTAAATTGTGGGGTTTTAATCCGATAGAGACAGTGGCATTAGTGGAGCTATCATAATGTATAGGCACCTATGTTGAATCATTCGGTGTTCTCAATTAGAAATTAAATAACAATAGCAATTAACAACTGAGACTTTGTGCCATTATTTCGAGTGTTCGCTGTCCGGTCGAGACAGGAGAGTCGCCAGACTACCACCATTATTACCGGCTACAACGGACGGAGACGGTCCAAAGAGTCTTCAGGCCACTTCTCGGACGTTGTTGCGAAACTAACAATGCGATATTCAGCTGAAATAAAAACGCCGATCGTGACAAGAGATCAGGCTGCGTTTGACAGTATTCACTTCAAAATGGCAGCAAAATGTTGTTACGCATTTAGTTTCTACTCTCGTAATCAAATTACACGTCATTGCTCAAACTCCTTTCCATCCTGCAGCTCACTGCTTAGGTTACTTTATTAAGGTTCTGTAGCCACGCGCTCCCACTATCCCCTCCCACCCCCTCCCACCCCAGCCTCCGCTCTTACCCTACGGTAAGCGCCCGCGCCGGCCGGGTTAATTCCGTCCCGCCGGAGTTCTGCCGCCTACCGCCCCCCACGGCAGCGCCTGACGTGGCACGCCAAAGTGCGCCTTCATTAATCAAACACCGCCTTCGACGCCGCCGGTTTTCGCGTGCGCCGGTCGGTGTGAGATGTAACGATCGCCGAGCGGGCTGAACCGTTCACCGCTCTGCATTGTTCATGGTGCCGCTGACATGCGCTGGGGGCGGCGGGACTCGGCGGCAGCGGAGTCAAAATGTCGGCGCTCTCTGACTCCTCTTCTTCTTCTTCTTCTTCTTTTGCACCTCACCCGCCGCCCCCCTAGGGGGACGACGGCGCAGGCGGGTCGACCGGAGGGTCGGTCCGCCCGACAGCCCGGATGAATTCAATCACCAACGGCGCCGGTCCGCCGAGGACGTCCCCCAGGCTCGGGTTGAGTCCCCAGCGGCGGCGCCGCGCAGCCTCGTAGGCCGGACAGTCGGTCAGCAGGTGGGCCGCGCTGTCCGGCTCGCCGCACGCAGGGCAAGCCGCGTCCACCGCCAGGCCTAGGCGGTGGACGACGTCCCGCGTGAGCGGCGACGCGCCCGTCCGCAGCTGGGAGAGGGTACATGCCTCCCAGCGGGACAGGTCGTTGTGGCCCGGTGTGGGCGCCGGGTGGGGGTGGGACGCTCTTGTTCTCGCGTCGACCATCGTCCCCACCCGGCGCCCGATCGCGCTTCTGGCGCTGGCGAAGTCGATTTGGACGTCCGGCTGCTCCGCAGCGGCCGCTTCACCGGCCAGCTGGTCGGCGTGTTCGTTTCCGTCCAGGCCAGCATGCCCCGGCACCCACTGGAAGGTGACGGTGGTGCCACGCTCGCTGAGGGTGTGTAGGCACTCCCAGATGCGGCCGGTCCCCTCTGGAGCTGCTGCAGGCCGGACTTGGAGTCGGTTAAAAGGCGGACTGCGCGGACGGACTCCCGGTCTTCTTCAGGTAGGGAGGTTATCACAGCCAGTGCTTCCCTGATGGCGGTAAGCTCGGCACGCAGGCTGCTGCACACTGCGCCGGCCGGGGCCCTGATACGTTCCTCACGGCCAAGGCAGTGGAGCTGGATCAGCGCGCCCGCGCCGCCACATGTCGTCCCCTCTCTCTCGCCGACCCGTCTGACCAGATGTCTCTGGTCAGACGACCAGAGACATTCATGGTGGCATCGGCGTCGTGCAGGGGACGCCGATGCCACCATCGGCGTCCCCTGCACGTGGGGGTGGTGCCTCTGGACGACTGGACTACCAGGCGAACAGAGCGAAGTACGCCGACACCCACCTACCTACCCACCTACCTCTCTGACTCCTCCCCCTCCCCCTCTCCCCCAGATCGGTCCGTTAGTTCCGGACCGCCAGTACGAGGTCGACGCCGAAAAGGAGGGTTACGTGCTGACCAAGACTGATGGCAAGCCGGGCCACTTTGAGGCGCGGAAGCTGGCCGAGCTGCGACTGCGTGTGACGGACGAGGCGGGCCGGCCGCTGCCCGGCGTGCTGCTCTCCGTGTCGGGAGGGAAGGACTACCGCAGGAACAGCCTCACAGGTCAGTGGGCGCTGAGACCGGACCGTCTGTCTGTCCTAGTATGGTCCTCGGACCAGCTTTTGGGCTTTGTGCGAACGTCCTTCCGTATATCCGTCCTGGCATGACATGGTCCTGTTCCGTGTTAGTATGTCACGGTCTTCACTGCGGCTCTCTGGGTTGTGTGGGTATGTCTGTCCTGGCATGACATGGCTCTGTCCTGTTCTCTTCTGTTATGTTCCGGAAGAGTTTCCAGACCGGATAGGATGATTTAATCGGCCCACTGAACTCCACTTCAATGTTGGAATCTGCCCGCCCGGTATATCGGCTTTGATGGTCAATATCAGCCGGACTGATCGGCGGAAGTCACTCCGATCTGTACATACTGGCCGGCCGTCACCCTCGAGCGCTGCGCTGCGGCTCATATTGAGACACAGCCGCCGCGGCAGCCGCACAAAATGACGGGCGTTCGGCTGACGACAGATGCATTAGTCGAATGACCACCGGTTAGGGATTATTGGGCTATCTCTGGGCGGTTGACGTCCGGGTTCGCGGCGCGGTCGCTGATCGGTCGCCGCTAATTGTGTTATACGTACGTAATGTCAGCCTGCCGAATAACGCGTATCACAAAGCATTGTGGCTGCTGATAGTTACTACTATGGACGTCAAACCCCTTGAGGCCCCACTTTTTTGCGATAATTTTTAAATGCGTCAACTTTCGTTGACAATATTCTGGCAATGTATGTTTCAGAACCTGCCGAAACTTTTATTACTAAGGTATTTTGACGCCAAACGATTATGGAAGGTACTTCTCATTCACTCGTAATGTTAAGGTCAATTCAGGCCCGGGCAGAGGCTTGCGCTCGGCCACACTCGAGCCCCGCCACCAGCGCCATCTGCTCTAAATGCCATCTACCAGCGCCCGCTACCGCTACCAGCTACCGCCCACCATCAAGCCTGAATGGAGCGAGAGACGCGAGTGACCGGTCGCCGGGCAAGGAGCGCCGGAGGGGTAGGGCGGAGCTTAGCGCTGACGTCATTACGTGGCTCCGCCCCATGAGCGCGTAGCCTCTACCCAAACAGCGGATTCGTTCCGTGAAATTTAACATTACGAGTGAATGAGAAGTACCTTTAATAATCGTTTGGCGTCAAAATACCTTAGCAATAAAAGTTTCGGCAGGTTCTGAAACACACATTGCCAGAATATTGTCAACGAGAGTTGACGCATTTAAAAATTATCGCAAAAAAGTGGGGTCTCAAGGGGTTTGACGTCCATAGTAGGTCTCCGCGAGGCGTTTGTAGTATAAAGGTTTATGCTTTCGTGCTCCTGGAAGGGCGCTGAGCTTTTCTGAGCATGGGCTCACGTTTGTCGTACACATGTATTTGTTTGTGTTTTATCGTATCATGAGCCAGCGCCGGCTGTCTGCCCGCTGTCAGCACATGGCGAGGCTAATTAACTTACTGTCTACACTCCCACGTCTACCCTCCGGTGACGTCATCCACGCCTCTGACGTCACACGCCGCTGACGTCACTCTGATGGTGTTGCCGCAGACGAGGACGGTCGTCAGGTGTTCCTGTCGCTCAGTCCCGGACAGTACTTCATCCGGCCCATGATGAAGGAGTACGAGTTCACGCCCGCCTCCAAGATGGCCGAGATTGCCGAGGGAGCTACGCTAGAGGTCACCGTCAGGTGAGTGTCCCAGTCGGGGTCAGCGCCGGGTCTAAGCAGGATTCCGGACCAGCCGATAGGTCAGTTGTACAAGTTATGGCGCGGATGCCTTAGCCGTATCTTGAAGAGTCAACGACTATACTAATAGAATGGACCAATGCTTGTGCGTTTGTCCACATATAGCATGGGGCTGTACTGAAATATCTGCCAGCTCTAGGGCAGGCTTTGTATTAACTCGTGGGCTCTGCTAGATCCGCCGGATTTACCGAATCTCCGCCGGCCGCTGGGACAGTCTCTGACATGGAAACCCCGCACAGTATAGCGCGATCGCCCACTCGTCGGTTTCCGAGACCGCAGGCGCCGTCTGTCATAAGCTGTCCAGTTTAATATTGGGGTAACCGGCGGGCGGTGCTTGGGCAATATCCAACGCATGGCTATGGATGGGAATACGCGCCATGCGTCGTCCCCATCTTCTCGATATAATGCGTTCGACAACCTAAATAATTCTGCTCTATTTGACGTCGGTGTATTTTGTAATTTACTAAATGCACTTCTCCGCCTCTGTATATGCACAATGATTCCGCTGTTAGCACGCCCCTAAAACCCCACCACAGTACAACCCAGGCCACCATAAGTCCTGGACTACTCCGTTTCGGCCGCCAATAATCATATACGTCACACCGCGCCATCCAAACACACAGTGCGGCGGACCGCCTCGTCCCGTTGACTCGGCAGCCTCTATTCTGGGTGTAGTCGCCGCTACTGCGGACCGAGATGTGTTGTAATTGATCCCTGTACCTCCTCTGGGCCGATCACTGCCGCCGCCCAGCTCAATATGAGACCCTGACGGGAGGCCCCCGCAGACCGGTCAGGCGATACGTTACGTCCGCGGGCTGATTTGGGGTGCATTTGGCAGAGGGTACGGCCCATCAGTCACGGGAGGTGGCCGTCTTCGGCGGCGGTGACGTGCTGGATGGGGGATGAGCTGAAAGGAGAGTGGCATTATGGCGGTAGTCATGGGCGGAGACTGACCTGGAGTCTGGTGTATAGGGACTACTGTCACTGAACTCTCTATCTCCAGTGGCTGGTGGATGGCCTCGGCTGGTGTGAAGGATTGCTATCCCCACCCCCACCCCCCACCCCCGTGAATAGCCTCCAGTCCAGACTGATCCATATCCCTCCTCCCCCAGTGGCCATAGAGAGGCCTACAGCCAGTGTTGGGTCAGGTCCCTGACCTTCCCAGCTCCCCCGTAGTGGCCGGCGCGTGGCCTACAGCCTGGTGGGCCGGGTCACCACGCTGACCGGTGAGGTCACTACTCACTGACCCCTCCCCCTCTCCTACAGTGGCCGCCGGGTAGCCTACAGCCTGTTGGGTCGGGTCACTGACCTCCCCCGCCCCCTCCCTCAGTGGCCGGCGCGTGGCTTACAGCCTGGTGGGCCGTGTCACCACACTGACCGGTGATCCGGAGCCCGGTGTGGTGGTGGAGGCGGTGGCTGGTCCCCAGTGTGACCACCATCAGGAGGAGGCCACCAGCGAGCCGACCGGCGCGCTCCGCATCCGCGGACTCCGGCCCCAGGTGAGCGACGGGCGGGGCTGAAAAAAGGACTTAATGCGTCAGGGAGATACCACTTTTTCTAGATTTTGTCGCTGTGGCTATTTGAGAGGCAACGCGTACTCAAGAAAGGAAAGGTTTCGTCCTCCCCCTGGGTGCATATTTTCAGCTGTGTTTAGTGAACGCTCTCAGGCATGAATATCATAGCGAATCTAAAACGTTCTTTGTTTTTATATGTTGTTTTGGAAATGAGTATTGCTGCGAATTCTAGCATTTGGAATCAGTTTCTACATATTTTGCCAGTTGCTTGTCTTTGCGCCTTCATTGGGGTGAGGACGATTGGTTCGTTCAGATAATGATGAAACATAATAATAACGAGGTAATGTGCTGCGACAGTATTTCCTGGATTCTCTGTAAGGGATGCATCTGCGTTGCCTCGTGGCATCCTGGTGTTTCACTGAAGAGCCACTTGCTCACGAAACCTGCGCTTCCAACTAATTGACACCGTGCTACCAACTGATTCAGAGTTAAACTCTGTGAACGCGGTCTCATTCAGAACCTTGAATTAGTAATTATCGTGCTTTCTCGCTAAACGCTACCGGCTGGAGTCTGATTCCGCAAGCCACTGCTGAATAGTGGAGATGGGTTCGTTTCAAAAGGGTTCGTCGTTTCAACACGATCGGCCGTCCAATGGACCGGGAGATTCGCCGTCGATTTAACTAATCTATCGGTCACAGAAAGTTTAAAGTAACTAGCTTGCTGGTTTCCTGGTTGGGCATAAAGCCCAGCACACGTCAACACTGAACTTGGAGGGAGGAAGCGCGCTCAATATCAATTCGTTTTTTTTCACCGCCCATTACCATACCTCCGCGTATTTATGTAATTTAGCACTCTTGTGATGCATATTCTGCCCGTTTTTACCGTTGCAGTGTGAATACACGGTCCGAATGAAGACTGGTACGGACACAAACACGCAGTTCTCCCGCGGTATTCCAGACTCGCAGACGGTTCGGGTAAGTTCGGTCTTGTCCTGTTCACACGAATATATCAGTGACTAAGTTGCATGCACTCATCGATTCCGTTCCGTAATTTCCATCCTCAGGACCTTCAAACCGTTCTTTTCCACACCTCAACCCCCTGTTCTGGGCTGGACGGGAGAATTTATCCCATGCGGGAATATCCGTAAGAGCACGCCCGTAGCGGGGTGCAGTGAGTGTTTGGGGGGGGGGGGGCTGGTCGGCCTGTCCTCTGGACGGGCTCAGCCCCGGCGATACACCAGAGTGCTCGCCCAGACCAATGCTTCACCCTAATTCCTATCATCATTCCGGCTCTGAAATAGTCTCATCAACCGAAAGGGCCTTACCCAACAAAACAAACAAACATTGCACTCATCTTTGCAGATGTGAATCTGTCCGTGTTGTGTACGCGTGCTCGGAGTCTGTCGATGTTTGTGTGGTTGTTTCCGCTGTATGTTAGACTATCGTGAGGCCACACCGGTTGGAGGGGTGGTGAGGTCCATCTGAGCTGCCGCGTGGTCACCGCCATTGCCCGGTCATCATTGCCCGTAACTGGTCTTTGCAGCGATATAATGGCCCCGCCGGCAGACTCAAACAGGGTTCAATGTGCGATGCTGGGCACTCGAGATGTTGTGTGTGATTTACCATTGTGGCCGTGGACTCTTGCGGTTGGGCGATATTTGCACTGGCCTGTGGGCTTCGTTCTGTGAATGCTGGGGTCCTCTGCACAATAGTCATATTCTCTGTAGGTGTGCGCCGATATTCCTCACTGAAATTGTTTTTTTTTCTTATACTCTGTATTACTCTACAAGACGTGGTCTAAATAGCCTGACATCACTTTCCCCAATTCTGCAATCTGACCGAGATGTTTTGTTTTCCCTCTAATGACTCGTGACCTGACCTGGTAACCTGATCCCGTGACCTGACCACATGACCCGACTCTCTAACCGCGGTGTCTCCGTGTGCAGGTGGCGGACGGTGACGTATCCGGGTTCCGTCTGGTGGCGTTCCGTCGTCTGGGCGAGATGGACGTCACGGTACGCGTGGTGTCCGCTCCGCAGCACCTCTCCTCTCTGCGGCTGGTGGTGAGCGCGGCCGGCTCCGAGGCGCCGCTGATCTCCCAGCCGGTGGCCGGCTCGCCGCTGGTCGTGCTGCCGGCGCCGCTGGCCCGCGACGGCCGCCAGTACGTGGCGCGACTAGAGAGCTCGCTGAGCGCGGCGACTCACACAGTGCGCTCCGCCGAGGTGGCCTTCACGGCGGACGCGGCCGCGCGACACATCGAGCTGCAGTTCTCTGCCGAGCGGCGACCCGTGGACGCCGAGCTGGGCGCCGGGCCCGTGCTCGGCCTGCCGCTCACGCTGCTGGCCGTCCTGCTGGCCGTCAACCAGCGCAAGTGTCTGGAGATGGGGAAGAAGCTGTGGGCCAAGTACCAGGCTCGTGCTGGGGCCGGGGCCGCGCGCCGGGAGTCGGGCGGCGCGGCGGCCGGTGACGGCGTCGGCGTCATCGTCCGGCCCGTGACTGTGAAAGTGAAGGCGAGGAAGGTGTGATAGAGAGCGAGAAAGAGCGAGAGAGGAGAGAAAGGGAGGGAGTAGAGCGAACGATTCGTACGGGACGTGTGCGATGTGCAATCCGTATATCCGTGAGCATTATGTTTATGTTGTGGTGTGAGAAAAGTCCTTAGAATGATGGTGATCAGCATTTTGGTTCATATCACGTAATTCAGGGGATAGATGTTGTTCGAATGTATGTTCCGAGAAAAGCCGTGGCCTGTTATTATGGTCCTGTCCCACTCCCTTTGTATCCTTATGAACGGCTCTTGCTAAGGCGATTAAGTCAGTGTTTCAGGAGCAGCGTCAAGTGAACGACTTTTACTGTGCCTTGGTTGAAATGGTGTATTGATTTATCGTTACAAATAATAACTATCCGATTCGATTTGTTCTTCTTTTGGCGTTGGATAGTGGATCTTATTTTATCATTTCCGCCACGTTCTGGTTGAAATTAAAAATATCCGAAATCATCATAGCTTATCATCTAGCACGGACTCGAATTATACCACTGCGGACCACAACTCCCACGGAAATATCATCTCGTTAAGGCGGGCCGACCACCGGACTCTGATTTTGTTCATGGCTCTACACAATCTGGCTGACCGTGTGGCCACCGGCCGGCACCGGGGCTCCGTTTGTGTGCCGATCAACGTGTTCGCTGACATGATATGATGTTATTATCGCCAGCGCCGCATATATTGGAGACCGGTGACGCTTGTGGCGTGTGATGATATAGCGGAGAGAGGGGGAAAAGAGAGAGAGAGAGAGAGAGAGAGAGAGAGAGAGAGAGAGAGAGAGAGAGAGAGAGAGAGAGAGAGAGAGAGAGAGAGAGAGAAAGAGAGAGAGAGAGAGAGAGAGAGAGAGGGAGGCGATGACAGTGTGATTCAGAAAGAAAAAGACAGGCACTGCGGGGCGAAAGGATGGCGGGGTCGCACTGGATATGAGGCATGGGGGAAGAGGGCTTGGGATGAGATTTGGAAGAAAGTTTTATCTACGGAGTAATTGTGTGCGACGTTATAGACCTATTTTAAGAATTTAGACAACTCGTCCTGGGTTAAAGTGTTATATACGAATGCCTTGAAAAGAAAGATGTGATTGATTCCGAATAAAAATGTTCATATTTAAGACCTCTGAGCGAAATAAAAGCATGCATAATTGGACCATGGCTCTCGCGGTCCGAATTATTTGAGACAATTTGACCAGAGGACCGAGGTTTGTAGAGTCCAGAGGTCACCCAAGGTCCAGATTAAAATGTGTTTGACCAAGGTTTAATGAAAAAGTCGGGGTCAGGTGACGGGAAATAGCTAAGAACTAGGGTGACCCGCGTGCTCCGCAACGCGAAAAAGGGATATTTTCGATCGGCGGGTGGTCGGTTGTTCTTGTGTCGGTTGGGTTATCTATCCATTTCGGTCGATTGCTTTTTGACGGCTAAACGTTTTGGTTTGTGGAAAAAATATCCACCGCATCGAGGTGCCCGTGTCTGATAAGCATGCTTTCCACTTCAGAATCTGTCAAATGTGCTTTATTACGGAGCGAGCGAAGCGAGCGTAGTCTTTCCTTAGATTAACGGAAATTTCTGAGTATGAGCGGCCGGCCGGCCGGCCGGCCGTGCGGACGCTTTTGCGAGGCTTATATCTCAGCAACCACTTGACCGATTTACACGCGGTAATTTTTGTAGGGTAGCTTCATTCCTTCTACCAAGTATTGGACTATTCCCGATGCATGTGGGTGACCCCTTATGCACGTGCCACGTGCAAAACGAAGAGGTGTCAGTTTTGTAATTGTTGCAATATCTCGGTAACTACTCGGCCGATTGCGCTGAAAGTTGGCATGTAGGTAGGCACCCACTAGGCACTGCATATCCATGTGCCATAGTTGGGGTGCTGCTGCACGTGCGCACGTGCAGGGGTCGTTTCCAGATCTCGAGAACGGCTGGACCGATTGCGCTCAAATTTGGCACACGGTTAGGGACCAGTTAGTAGGGTGCCGTGTACAAGTCAGTTGGGACCCATTTTGCACGTGCGCACGTGCAGGGTGCCGCTCCCAGATCTCGAGAACGGCTGGGCCGATTGTGCTCAAATTTGGCACATCGCTAGAGACCGGTTAGTAGGGTGCCGTGCACAAGTCAGTTGGAGGTACCCCCTTGAAAATTCGCACGTGCAAGGCCCACCCTCTCGCTCGCTCCGTTAGTCGCCCCAAAAGGCGTTATACTGGTTTTATGACAAATTAAAGGCGTAGATAATTTTCACTAAAAATCATTTTGCAGAGGTTTGAAACATTTATATTTTTAAGAATACTGTTGCTTGTCATGCAAACGTGATGATTGGATCTTGGAGAGAATTGAATGTTCTTTCCAATGATGGCATTTTCAATTGTCAAACGTATTAGGTTAAGCAGCAAAATCCGTGTAATTATTTAGTGGCACATTTTGGACAAATACCATTTAATTCAGCGATTTTTTCCACATTGTTTTTGATCAATTAGCTTTTCACAATTTTTCCATGAGAGACGGTACATTTTTATTGCTAATAGGCGCTGTTTCAACTCATTCCGTCTGACGATCACCTAAAATTAATATAAATTCCAAAATCCGTCCAAAACGTCCATTTTTTCAAAAGAAAGTGTCCTCCCCGGTGCACGTGGCGCGTGCCAACCCCTGCACCGCACACCATTCGATAGCCCGTTCGATTCTCTACACGATGCTGTTTTCCCCGTACCGGTCGGGCCCACGGTTACCGAGATATTGCACCGGGACCGGACCCGTGTCGGGCAAATTTGGCTGTTTTCGCCCGTTTTTGCCAGCCGATTAATACATGTAAAGTCTATGACGCGAATTTGCACTTTTTGGGCACGCGCCACGCGCTCGCTATCGATCCGATCGAGCTGAGACCCATCAAAGGCACGTTGTCCATCCTTGTTCTATGAGTTGCGCAAACTTCAGCGCGGTAGGTGCAACGGTGTGACCTGTAACCCGCGCTACGTAGCACCATGTCGCGACCTTCGTAATAGACAGAAACTACGTCACCACAAATAGTAATATAGATGTTATTGATATCGAACGTAGGCGATCATCCGGTAAATCAGATCGCGGCTTTTTTTCCACTGACACATGCTGCAAGCCCTCCTTCGTAATGGACCGCAGCCCTGACAGTCCCCTACCGTCCATTAACGGCTCAAATATCCATCTGATGATGAAACCTATAAACCGTACATTTTCGTTACTAGCTTGCTCTGGTTGTCGAGGGCGCTAAACCGCGAGGTAGGCAGTGCATGGAGACTGCCGCAGGACTGTGAGTGAAGCTCAGCCCAGTAATTTTGCTCTGTCTGGCGGTAACTACCGAAGTTTGACATGTACTCGTATGACTGAAATGGCGTTGGGATCATAGGAGCAACATTATGGACTTAGCCCGGCATTATATCGCCTGGAAACTGGAGAAGAATATCGCGACTGGTTAGGTAGGTATGTACTGTGTCCACGTCCAGTGTCCCAGTACGAGAAGTGAAGTACCCGCGAGCCGAGAAGTGGATAGACTAGTTCGGCACCTCTGTGGTGCCTACCCATAGGCCCATCCGAACGGCTGAATCGAGTTTTATGGCAAACCACGATCCAACGAAAGTCATCTTTTCACGCTTTTGGATAGCCGCGTTTCAAGTGCTGAAAATGCTTTTAGATCTGAGGATCGAAATGCCTGCCAAAGTGATCCTTCACCGGTTCATCTATCGCTAACCAGTGCCTCTTAACGCTGTCCAGTTACGGACAAAGGAAGTAGGAGAGTCTGACGGTCTAATTGGCTCCTTGGAGAGGCACTCAATTCCGCAGCTTCAAACGATTCGAAGTAACTACTGCCAACGAGGTAAAACTGTAAAGGTGTCAGGTGTTCCTCAGTCGTGCTGGTTGAGGCACTCTTGCTTCCCCGCTCTAGCTTTGGAGACCCTAACAATTCGACAGAATATGCGCGGCAGGGTGCGTCGATCTAAAGCAAACAATGGCAGATGGGGCCTTGAAATAGGTCGCTGGCCGCTGATATGCCTACTGGCATTGCAACCGGGAAGCAAGTTAAGAGCCCCGCAAAATGACCTTGTAGTCGGTGCGGCGTGCGCCCCTCCCCCCCCCCCCCAGTTAAGAGCCCCGAGCCCCTGGGACTGCGCCATCGCCCCAGGAATGAGCTAGTTGCGGGAACGGCAACCGGGTATGCTGTATGTCATCCTATGCATCAACTTGTCTTCACAACGAGCAGGTCAATGCAGATACGCGGATAGGCGCTATTCAGTCGACCAGCAGCGCCGTCCTGATCCGAAGCTCCCCTCCCCTCGGGGGAGATCGGAGGGGGGGGGGGAGTGTACGGCGTCAGTGACTCCACCGACCGACCGACCAGGCGTGCTCGTCTAACGAGGGCGCCGGCGTCGTTAGGCGGCTCCCAACACCTCCAAGGGCGACGATCGGCGTTTGTTCGACGGCATCAAAGGTGGTCGGAGCCGGGGACGGCCAATTACAGGGCGGCCGGGCGGCCGGGACTGCTCCCTGACCGGTACCCATCGGTCGGCGCCGGAGCGCTGATTGACCCCAGAGACCGGCGGTGCGCGGATTGTCGAGAGCTGTTGTTGCCGCTCCTTCAGAGGCGTCCGCGAGAGGTGACGCAAAGTCAACTGTGTAGGCCAACAATAGCAGCGCTAACAAGCTATCTGGACGAGCCGCAGCAGCTCCTCAGAGACGCTCCAATCGGCTGAATGCCGCTCCCACTGTCTGCGCAAATTGCATCCTGATTCTGTTGCTGTTTCGTTAGTTGATTCAGCGAACCACGGAGAGAAGTAGATATATTTGGCGTTAGCGTATTGACGCATTCGGTCGTAGAGGAGTCGTGATAATTGCTGGGCAACATGACCGCTGACCAGCTATGCACAGGCACAGCGCTGCATTAGGTGAGAGATCTCTCCATCTCCCTCTCACTCTGCCTCCCTTTCTCCCCATCCTCCCTCTCACTCTGCCTCCCTTTCTCCCCATCCTCCCTTTTATTTTTTTTTTCTCTCTCTCTCTCTCTCTCTCTCTCTCTCTCTCTCTCTCTCTCTCTCTCTCTCTCTCTCTCTCTCTCTCTCTCTCTCTCTCTCGTATCTTATTCTATCCCATCGCTCCATTTTTCTCGCTGTTAATCGTTCTCTTTCTCCCGCTCTCTCCTCCTCTTTTTTACCTTGCTTTGCCTTTTATGCACATGTAACTACCTAACTCTCGTACATAAAGGTCGAAAACTAACAGCAGTATAAAGGTATCATGCTGTTATCGCGTGGCGCGTGCGCCACTTTACTTCATACGGGCTCGAATTCGATACATAATGGAGTGTTGAATTGGCCAAAACTGGCATGGCTTAGCTAGCTACCTAATCGCTGACCTATGAGGTTATAGGCACAAGCAAGCCGATTTCAACTAGCTGCCACCGATATTAGAACGGCTTATTTGCTAACCGCTGTCACGTCTCGGTACGTAGCGGCGCATCCCTGTCCTGCTGCACTGACCGTGAGTGCCGCTGCACACGGCTCTGAATAATTCAGCGCCGATCCAGCGGTCGCCGGTGGAGACAGCCATGTCCTGTTTACCGATCACCGTAGAAATTGAGCGCGCCTTCGATTGCCGTGAGAGCGGCCGCGTGTGTCGGGGGCAGGTGCGCGGGTCAGGGGACAGGGGACGACCCGCTCAGGTGGGGGGCGATGGCCGTGGGCTGAGCACGGACAGAGCCGGGGATCGCCATCATGCGGCGGGTGCTGCCGCTGCTGCTGCCGCTGCTGCTGCTCTCCGGCCAGACCGTGACCTTTGGTGAGTGTTCTTAGGGCAGGCGGTACCGAAAGTTTATACAAAAACTCTATCATGGGAGCAATAAGTCAAGTGCTTCTTTCCCCAGTTATACGGGACAAATCGTCCTTGCAGGGACGTAGCGTCAGGTATTCTCAGAGCGCCATTACCTACTAGTAGACGATTGTTAGAAAATGTTGATGAAAAACAATGCATGCTGAAAAACAGTAGGAACCTGGCAATTGCGTCCATAAATATTGCCGGCATTACGAAACCATCCCTCTAGTTACCCTGAGATATCTAATTGCACTTGCCTGTTTCACCTTTGAGTCCATTTTCAAAGGGCCAGTTCGACATCAATGTGAGCCAATCAGTTCCAAATTGGACGATCTTACGGTATCAGTTTGGTCGACCGTTGAAGCTCTTAATGTGTAGAACAAGGCCATCTGAGAGGCGAAGTTTGCAATGGCGAACAGGCGGCCGCATTGGGACGCAATAGCAATAGCGCCCGATCGCACCCGCCACGAAACAAGGTCGTTATCGGCCGCTCATTCACACAGAAGTTTCCGCGCCTACAACAAAGCTATGTACCAACCTTGTTTGCCCAACTGCAAAGAACTCAGAGTAACTGCTAACTATAGCAGAGTCGTTAGCGACTGTGAGACTCGCTGGACTGCTTTGAAGTTTAGTTGATTCAGTGAGCAGTCTTCATCAATTGCAGACACCCACCACGTCAACAAGCTCGAAATGTCGCAATAGGCAATAAAAAGAGCTTCTTAAGATGACCTTATGATTGTTTATTGCGTTATTTCTGGAAACATACATGCCTTTATTTATATATAATATGTCTGATAAAATTATGCGGTGTATTGACGTGAATAAATTGCAGGGAGCTCAGCCCTCGGTGTGTAACCTCGTGCCCCGTTTTTTCGCAGTAAATGGCGAGGTTACTACGGACGGCACTACCGTCGTTACGGACCCCGACGGTGGTCGTACGACGTACAACTCTACGGGGAACGACACGATCACCACATCGGCGACGAGTGAGACGGACGGATGGACTCAGTCGGGGCTCGGTGAGTGGCGTCTCGGTAGGAGATGAAGCATACAGTTGAACAAGAACAATAGATATTGGACAATGAACACTGGACAGGCGTTGCATAAAAACGGCAAAAGCTGACACACTAATGTAAACAAATACCTACCTATCCATATGTCAGCTGGTAATGATTAACCGGGCACATATTATAAGATTTTATGGCTGGGATCAGGGGAAGCTGTTCAATAACAAGTCCCCTTTTGGCAAGCACACTGAATGACTCGTTTTCTTCAAAGTTGCACAATGTCGACAATAAAACCTTGCCTATGGGTTGTTAGCAAGCGCACAGTTTGAACAAATTTAAGATTACATTTAAAACGTCAATTCAATCCTAAAATATTGATTTTGTATGTTTAGGTAGCGCAAACATGGCGCAAACATTCAGCATGGCGCAAACATTCAGCTTTCAGTGAACGGCACTCAGCGGATAGGAAAAATATAGTTTAGCTTTGGTCGTTACCGCGTTTACGTTAAAATCAACGTACCGTATGTACACAAAATTGCTGCCAAATTTAACTACACGTACGGCGTGTAGCGAAAACAGTTATTTTTGCTATGTGTTACAATATATATGATAGGTATATCCACAGATAACAGTAGTACTACTGTTATCTGTGGTATATCAGATTGAGCAACTCATTAAAATCTAACGTATCTCAACAGGAGCAAAAAAAAGCGCTGCCGGATTTTGTGCTGGATGATTTTCTAACTTTCAATGTCCTGCTCTGGTCCCCGTGACCGGTTTACTTCCGGGCGGTGCACTTAAAGCTAAGATCGATCGCCACTAAACCCGGCCCGCAATTCTGGCGGCCGGTAAAATTTAGTAGCCACGACCGGCGACGTGACCACCATGCCTGCATATAACTAGTGTCTGGTTTGCGCTCTTGTACGATATATACAGACGTATGAAATAATCCCAGCTCACTACTGGGAAAACATCCGACTGCCTTGGCTTGGAAGGCGCCTTGGATGAGTGTGTGAGTAATTAGGTGGATTCGAATGTAGAATATCCATTCGAATCCACCAGTGGTTTCGAATGATTGCTGTTTTACTGAGCGGCTTGGGCGCATGTAACATAATGCCAGAAAAGCTATGCCAATGGTCATATAAATCCCTACATTTAATGACAATTTTCATTAGATAAGTACCTGGAAGCCAAAAAAGCAAACCTATCACTGAAAAGTGTTTGATGAGTCGAATTTAAAAAAGAATTAATGCTTGATAAATTATAACATTCGTTTTATTTTGCTTCCTATTACTACGAGTGAACGTTCTGAATAATTAAACGCGAGTAGTCTCTCGGTCCGGTCCGCCTCCAGCGAGGAGGCCATTTCTGGAGGCAGCGCAGCACATACCTACCATCGTCATTAGTTACCAAGTCACTTTATCGACAGATCAGTGAGTCGACCGCCCAAAAAGTCGAGTGGTCGCTGCGGCGGCACCCGTAAAAGGCGGCTGCCGTCCGCCGGGGCCGCCGCGGGAACGGTTTATAGGACGGCGCTCCACCGCCAGGGTCGGCAGAGCGGCCTCCGTCCCACGCGGGCCGGTCGGCCGGCTCGGCGAATTAAATGGTTTGAATATTTATCGAGATTAGACTATTTATTCACCGACTGCATCTGCGTGACATATTTGGATTTTGTCGATCGATCAACGAGTGTCCGTACATTGTTCAGTACTTAGTCTGACATATAGCCGGCTGTGTGAGTCCATTTTCCGGTAATTGCACAAAACTAGATACTCTGTCCTGACCACTGATCGGACACAACTTCCGACTAACGATTGATTATCAATCTGGCGTTAAAAATGCATGCAACAACGGATGTAAACGGACATTGATTAATGGAAACTGTCCTATTAAAGGCGCACAATCAGTAACGATTCTATAGTCAGTCTATTTATTATTGTATCACCAAGCTGGTGGCTTAGCGACCGTGGCCGCAGCTGCACCGGGGCACCGAGCCAGTGACCTTGCGTCAGTTATCAAGTCCTTGACCGCCAGACACTGGTTATTAGCCATTTCTCTCTGATCTCTCATCGCTAGTCTCTGGTCCCTAGCCACCGGTCCCTCGTTGTTGGTCTCTGGTCCTCAATGCTGATCCCCGGACCTAGGCCGTCCCCGTCTGGGCCAGTTTACGGTCGCGCGCGGCCGGTCCCTTCTCCTGGACCGTTCTTCGCGTCGCCGACGCGGTGGTCCCTGTTCTCGGAGTAAGTAGCGTCTGTAGTGACTACCGTTCGCTTTTAAAAATACTAGAAGGAAGTCTGTGTGACGTGTGTGTTTACTATAACTGTACCTCGGTAAGAAACCATCTCCGAAGACGGAAACGTGCGTAAATAACAGTCATACGAATCCTTCGATTGACGTGATGTAGTTTCATTCAAAGATGTCTTCAGTTTATAGATAACTCACGTGTCTTACAAAGGAGCTTATTATATAGGTGGAGGACAAAAATGTCATGAAATCCTTGGCAATTCGCAGTTATGAATATTGCACGGATGCACCCGCTCACATTCAACTCACCTACAAAGCGATGCAGGCTTTCAGACGAGCGCAATTAGCATTGATTCAGCATGCATTATGCAATGTGCACTCTCAGATTGTCCCCACAATGAATATGCATTTCCACTGACCCTTGCCTAGCTCTTATTAGTGGGCGGATGAATGGATCGTGGACATTATCATTCAATAGAACATATGTTGATGTTGTCTCGGAGCCTGAAGGTTTTATTTTATCGTGTATGACCTCGAAGCATCGCCATTCCGCTGTAGAACATCAGCAAAAACTTATATAATCGCTCTAGGGCGACTCAGCTGGATAATCTCAGCGAAAGGTGAGTTTGTATTGTTTTACGACCACTGCGGGTAAGCGTTACTTCCACTGCGCTGAGTCGGTTTTAGTTAGTTCACATGTTTACCGTGCAAACTGCCTGCCTGCGTCAACAGAGAAACCTGACCGGAACAAACGCTTCCTTTTCAGATGTCGAGAACACCACCACCACGGCTGTGGACCTGAACGCTACAACAACCACAGCTGAAACCTCGACCAGCCCGACCCCGTCCACGACCACCCGTCGAACGACCCGGACCACGACGACCACCACAACGACCACCACCACGCCGCCGCCTCCCAACTGGAACCTGCTGCCGGTGGAGCGGTGTCTGTGCCGCCTGGACCGCTCCCTGAGCTGGGCCCGGGAGCAGCTGATCGCCGAGATCCTCCTCGCTGAGGAAGCTGCCAGAGCTGCCGCCACCACCACACTGTCTCCGAACGAAACGCAGACTGTTACTGGTGACCCATTGGTCGCAAACAATACTGATGTTTTGGAGACAGCTAACGACAACAGCACAGCTGTGACTGATCTGGGTTTGAGTGACGAGTCTGACAATGTGACATCAGTTACATTGGGAGGAAACGCTGGAGGAAACACCGATGCCGCTGATGCGACCACCGAAATATCAACCGACGGTCAGCTATCCACGACAACCGAGACGGTGCCGGATGAATTGCGGCGAAGGAAGCGAGAGGTGGAGACTACCACAGGCATCTCGAGCACCACTGAAGCAAGCGGTGAAGCAACTTTCACCGAACTATGCCTCAACGGGACATGTCAGAATATCACAAACATCACAGAGGATAGCACCGTTTCACTCAACTCCACCGAGGCAGACATCAGCAACACTACCACAGCCCAGACGACAGTCACCGAGACTTCAACGACGTCGACTACCACAACGACAACGACGACGACCCGGGTGACGACCACGACGCCGGCGGAGCGTCAGTTCCCCCCGGGAGTGATGGCCAGTGGCCATCCACGACGGCGGCGGCTCTCCCTCTGCCACTGCCCCGAGAAAGGTAACGATGCCGAGAAGATATTATACACAATGCTGTTTTGCTCCTTCGATGAAAAGTATCAGCCGTCTGTAAAACGGCTTCCTTTTTCCTGACAGCTTCAGGCCCATCTCACGCATTAGAGTTTCCTAGTTCAGAGTGTTAATCCATCAAAGTTGTTACGACTCTTTCTGACACCAGTCTGGGCCTGTCTCACTTGTTCCGAACTTCAGCTCCACTACCTCGATAGAAATCAAAGAAATATCCCCAGATGCCTCAGCTTCCGTTCATCGCATTTCTGACTTTGCGCATTCAACTCGATAAGGAAAATCAAATATCCCAGTCCTGCCGTGTTTTCGACACTCGATGTCGCTTCTACGACTCCCAAAGTGCGACGAAATTCTCTCGTGGTTTATAGTTATAGCTTCGTTTTAACTGTATGTTGGCTTAGGATTTGGTGCGTCATTCATTTTCAGCCAGAACCCGTTACTGAGCTCTTACATGCAACCACGATTATAGCTCAATTACCTTTTTTATTCTTCTCGATTTATGAACAGGGCTGGTTGCCAACAGTAAGCGATTGTTGACTAGTACGTTGTTGGTATGACTGGTGTTATTGCCACGCTAGCTTCATTCATTCTTTCAAGATTCAGAACATGGTAGAATGATTTTGCACTCCTCAGAAGCTACCAGTTGACTGCAACGGTTGCACCGTATATAACGCAATTAGGCGGGTCTATTGTTACTGTTAGCGTTGGGTCATTGCATTATAGGTAGGTACTGTGAGCTCATTTCGTGTGATGCGGCACAGCCTAGCACTCCATGCAACCACTTGCCTGTAAAAAGTGGAACATCATTCTGTGGGTAACTGTACTCTGAATAACTAGGAGACACTTCGGTGTGTAGACGGACTTAGCACTTAACTAGAGAACGTTTACAGCACGATTCCAGCTTGCGTTGCAGCGCGGCGCCTGCGGCAGAAGTCAGAAGACCCACCATCTCAGTGGGCGGCGGGTTCACGCGAGATGAGCAGTGGTCCTATGACGTCACTAGTTCCGTCTTTGTTGACCGATGACGTGGGCGTGATAGGCTGTAATTGCTCCTTAATGCGACTGTCAAATAGGAAATGGATTATTACCATAAACAATCTGCATAGTGCGCGCTTCATCTCTGTAATTGTCTTATTTACAGTGGCGGGAGTCTGGGGCTCCATTCGAATTCTCAACATGCACTGGAGAACAGTGCTGCTCTATCCAGAGGAGGTAGCCTACCAAGAGGCCACCAAATATATTCATGAACAGGTAAGGTTGCACAGGACTCATAGGAGTTCAATAGCATGCATTCTGTGCAGAAGCTTGGCCAACTTTTACCGGAAGGCGGAACTCATGCATTACCGATGATGGTTTGATAGTGTCCTGCGTAGTGCGTTACCTTTAAAGGGATTGGTAGGGGAGAGCTCCCATCATGCGCCCGGAAATGCGAAAACTCGTTCTCGCTTAAAATATCTGTCCACAGTCCAATCAATACGGTATCGTTTTGATTACGATTTCTGAGCAAAATCTTCTCTATTCTACAAAATATCTTCTCTTGCCATTGAAATACGTGGCATGATGACTAATTGCGTTTTTTTTTCTAAATCCTTGCAAAAGACGCGTTTAGACACAGCATGTGTATACGCTGTGTCTAAATGCCTAAAGAACAGCCCGAGGGAGGCATTTGATGAAGTCCTGTAGGTTATGATTTGGTGGCAACACCGCATTGTTTCTAAACTACATCTTGGCCACTACAGCTGGACCGTATCTTCCGCCAAACGCTGGGCTCGTGGTACTCAACCTCAGAGGTGCTAAACATGGAGGAGGGCAGCGTCATCGCCCACCACAAGGTCTACCTCACCAGGGAGGTGGAGAACATGACCGAGCTGGTCCAAGCCTCCTTCGAGGCCGGCTACGAGTCGGGAGTCTCCGACATCCGAGTGGACAACTCGACCAGCTACTACAGTAAGTGACAGAGCTCTGTTTATATTCCAGTTAAATAAAGGACGAGTACGAACCGTGCCCTGGCTGGGTGACTATGGGCTAGATAAGATCATATAGGTAAACGGCAATCAACAAGCAGCAAGTTAACATCACCTATTCGCCAAGAACACCGCCCACCAGAGCGCACCTATATCCTGCTGCCCGTGACTGTGTGTCGAGCCACGGACGGCCCTCATGACGGTCCGTTTCCTAAGTGCGATTCCCCGGAATGAAGCTCGGTCGGCCGAACGCCCCCGGACGTAGTCAGTGGGCGATGCGGGCGTGCGGGCCAGCCAGCCTGCTCCGCCGCCGATAGGGTGTATCAGCCCGGAACACGTCTCGAGCTCGGCAAACACATCTCATGGAACAGGGAATATAATTTTGGGAAAGGGTATTGTTCTTAAATTGCGTGTTTTATGAAGTTATGCAGATACGCATCAAACACAGTACCTTCACACTCATAAGACTAAGTCGGTGGTGGCTCGACAGATGACATTTTAATTCGCATATCTGTCATTTGTTTCAGTTCCTCCTGGGCCAGTCCCAAAGCCTGCCATATGGTACCTGCGATATCTGGCGCTGGCCATCGGAATAGGTGGGTGACATCGTATGTGCTATAAGTCAATATAAGTCATTCAATGAATACTATATGACTATGATTGAATCAATTGCACACACACACACAGCTTACATAAGTGCACTATACCGCCTGTACTTGCAGACAATAAAGGAATACTTCTAATTACATGAATAGGTAGCGTAAATCATGAGTCGCTGTGTTTACCTACCAGTATAATCACTGTAAAAGTTGTTGGAATCGGTACATCCCAACGTAAGGAGATTAAATATTATTACGGAGCGAGCGAAGCGAGCGTAGTCTTTCCTTAGATTAACGGAAATTTCTGAGTACCAGTATAACGCCTTTTGGGGCGACTAACGGAGCGAGCGAGAGGGTGAGCCTTGCACGTGCAAAATTTCGACGGGGTACCTCCAGCTGACTTGTGCACGGCACCCTACTAACCGGTCTCAAGCGATATGCCAAATTTGAGCACAATCGGCCCAGCCGTTCTCGATATCTGGAAGCGGCACCCTGCACATGCGCACGTGCAAAATGGGTCCCAACTGACTTTTGCACGGCACCCTACTAACCGGTCCCTAACCATGTGCCAAATTTGAGCGCCATCGGTCCAGCCGTTCTCGAGATCTGGTATCGACCCCTGCACGTGCGCACGTGCAGCAGCACCCCAACTCTGGCACATGGATCTGCATCGCCTTGTGGGTGCCTACCTACATGCCAACTTTCAGCGCAATCGGCCAAGTAGTTACCGAGATATTGCAACAATTACAAAAGTGACACCTCTTCGTTTTGCACGTGGGACGTGCATAAGGGGTCACCCACATGCATCGGGAATAGTCCAATACTTGGTAGAAGGAATGAAGCTACCCTACAAAAATTACCGCGTGTAAATCGGTCAAGTGGTTGCTGAGATATAAGCGTCGCAGAATCGTGACCACGGCCGGCCGGCTGGCCGGCCGCTCATACTCGGAAATTTCCGTTATTACGGAGCGAGCGAAGCGAGCGTAGTCTTTCCTTAGATTAACGGAAATTTCTGAGTATGAGCGGCCGGCCGGCCGGCCGGCCGGCCGGCCGGCCGTGGTCACGCTTTTGCGAGGCTTATATCTCAGCAACCACTTGACCGATTTACATGCGGTAATTTTTGTAGGGTAGCTTCATTCCTTCTACCAAGTATTGCACTATTCCCGATGCATGTGGGTGACCCCTTATGCACGTGCCACGTGCAAAACGAAGAGGTGTCACTTTTGTAATTGTTGCAATATCTCGGTAACTACTGGGCCGATTGCGCTGAGAGTTGGCATGTAGGTAGGCACCCACTAGGCAATGCATATCCATGTGCCAGAGTTGGGGTGCTGTTGCACGTGCGCACGTGCAGGGGTCGTTTCCAGATCTCAGGAACGGCTGGACCGATTGCGCTCAAATTTGGTACATGGATAGGGACCGGTTAGTAGGGTGCCGTGCACAAGTCAGTTGGGACCCATTTTGCACGTGCGCACGTGCAGGGTACCGCTTCCAGATCTCGAGAACGGCTGGGCCGATTGTGCCCAAATTTGGCACATCGCTAGAGACCAGTTAGTAGGGTGCCGTGCACAAGTCAGTTGGAGGTACCCCCTCGCAATTTCGCACGTGCAAGGCCCACCCTCTCGCTCGCTCCGTTAGTCGCCCCAAAAGGCGTTATACTGGTTCTACATACGTAAGACTCCGCTCGCTTCGCTCGCTCCGTAATGAGCGGCCGGCCGTGGTCACGCTTTTGCGAGGCTTATATCTCAGCAACCACTTGACCGATTTACATGCGGTAATTTTTGTAGGGTAGCTTCATTCCTTCTACCAAGTATTGCACTATTCCCGATGCATGTGGGTGACCCCTTATGCACGTGCCACCGGCCACGTGCAAAACCAAGAGGTGTCACTTTTGTAATGGTTGCAATATCTCGGTAACTACTGGGCCGATTGCGCTGAGAGTTGGCATGTAGGTAGGCACCCACTAGGCAATGCATATCCATGTGCCAGAGTTGGGGTGCTGCTGCACGTGCGCACGTGCAGGGGTCGTTTCCAGATCTCGAGAACGGCTGGACCGATTGCGCTCAAATTTGGTACACGGTTACGGAGCAGTTAGTAGGGTGCCGTGCACAAGTCAGTTGGGACCCATTTTGCACGTGCGCACGTGCAGGGTGCCGCTTCCAGATCTCGAGAACGGCTGAGCCGATTGTGCTCAAATTTGGCACATCGCTAGAGACCGATTAGTAAGGTGCCGTGCACAAGTCAGTTGGAGGTACCCCCTCGCAATTTCGCACGTGCAAGGCCCACCCTCTCGCTCGCTCCGTTAGTCGCCACAAAAGGCGTTATACTGAGCCCTGTTCGGGTCCGCGCAAAATATTTTGCTGAGTGTGAAGTCACACATGCGATGATGTCAGCCGCCTGGCTCCGCCCATGCTCCGCCCCCTCTCCGCCGGCCCGCAAAGCCCACGCAAAGCCGAGGGCCACGCGAGACGCGGCGAACCGTGGCGCGGATGGACTGGTGTGTTTCGTTCAATTACTGAGTAAAATGCGTTCAAATGTGGTTAATAGCAATGTGCCACTGAAAAGAAAGATAATGATACCAAAATAACACCATACTAACCACTTACAATAAGAAATATTCGTATATAATGTAAGATAAAAACACCAAAACCACCCAACGTTTCGTGTTATTCACTTTTTCAAGGGTGATATGCATACATATCACCCTTGAAAAAGTGAATAACACGAAACGTTGGGTGGTTTTGGTGTTTTTATCTTACATTATATACGAATTAATTTGTCCAATTCAAATAATCAATAAGAAATATATGAGGGTAAACTTTAATCCGCGCCACTTTCGCCTCCTGCAGCTACTATTTTCTTCTTGCGCAAAACTGAAAGATTTTGCGCGAGCCTACGTCACACGTGTGACGTCATACGCCGAAGGGCGGAGCTTGGCACCCGAGAGACCCCAACTGCGCATGCGTGGTGCAAAATTTTGCAATAGGATGCGCTGCCCGAACAGGGCCCTGGTAATAATCGAGTGACGCTAGTCGCTAGTTTATTTTCAACTTATGGCCTCAACTAGCATCAAATGAAAATCAGAGTGCTCGTTGTTTGGCAAGGAATGTGAAATTATTTAACTTAGGTAAGCCAAAGTTTGTTTCGTTTTGCTGTTATTAGAAGCACATAATAAAATTATCAATGCAACAAACTTTGGATTACTAAGTGGGCGAATTTCACATTCCTTGACTGACAACGAGACTTCTGAGTTCACTTGAAGATACATATTTCTAGGCTGCATTCTGAAAGTAAGAAATACACAAACACATGTAAAGCTTGCAGTGCAGCAGCCTGAAGCTTTCAATCTGTCTGTTTCAGTGATCATGATCGCCATCATGTATGACATTGCGTGGCGGACCAACACGTGCGCTCTACGGTCCCCATACGGCTACCTCGAGGAGCCCGACGGCAAGCAGCACGTCACCCTCCGAGAGCGGCTCCGAGTCGCGGCCGACAAGACCAGGGAGGCCGCGGGCAGGACGCTCGTCGCCACCAGGGACGTGGCGGTGAAGACGGGGAGGACCATATCGAACCCGGAGACGTTCCGCAAGATCGGCACCCTGGTGACGACGAACGTGGTCTGGGTGAAGACGGTCGGCGCGCTGAAGAAGAGCCCGCCGGAGGACCGGCAGCCGACGCTGGACCCGGAGCAAGGTCTGGAGCAGCAGGCCGAGCAGCTGGAGCAGCAGCTGGACGAGCCCGGACAAACGGACGGAGCTGATGTTCAAGAGCCAGGTGAGGGCGAGTCTCCGGCAGAGGGTGAGGGAGAGGGAGAGGCGACGGATAAGGACGAGGGCGAGGCGCCGGCAGACGCCTCTGAGGAGGCGACGCCCAGCGACGAATCAGATGGAGGCTCCCCTGAGGCAGAGGAGGGCGCTCCCAAGGAGGAGGAACAGGAACCAGCGGAGAGCACCGAGAATGAGCAGCCCTCTGAAGACGCGCCAACAGAGCCTGCGCAGCAAGAGGCCGATAGCTAAACTGACCAGCAGGCCATTCAAACCGTCAGTGGGGACGGACAAGTTATAAGAAACATCCGTCTTCAGCGTGGCCTCAGGCCTGATGCTATAGTATGATAACTACATTGCGCGGTTACAGTTGTTGGGTAAAGGAAAATCCTGTTATTGCCTTGCTTCGCAAGCTAATGTTAATCGGTTCACGCTTAGAGACACGCTACGTGTAAGATCATACAATGAGCGTGCTCTGTAACTAGCGACACTGGTCGTTTTGCATTAATGTTTAATAACGGACAATGTTGACTTTTTATTAAGTTTGCCGACAATTTTTTCCGATAAGCACTACCGCCTGGGCTTATTCACTTCAGAATAACTTTCAGATGCAATTGAGCTTTTTTCTTCTTCAATTGATTAGAGGGATGGCTTTTCGAACAACCTTCCTCCCCACCACCGGCGTAGAAATCCAGAAACTCCAGCGAAATGCGGCTTCATTCGTTCATTCATTCACAAAATTTAGGTCCAAGGACTACTGAGCATGCTGTCTAGGTGTTACGAAGTATTTCATGTTTTATTAGAAAACATTTCAGCATTATCATAGGTATTGTATTATCAAGCCGAAATAGTCTTATGGCAGATAATAAGCATGAAATGGCATATGCCTTTTGATCATGACGGATGACATGCCTTCGTTGATTTCGAAGAGCAATACAAATGAAAAAGACATTTTTGTTTCTTCGTATCTGATAGAACCACTATAATAGGTAGTTATTGTTGTAGTGGTAAAAACTAATCAAATCAAGCGTCGGCATCGTAAGAAGCGTTAGGGTGGCAGTTTTGCCCCATTCTTCCTTAAACGAAGGGACAATAGTCAGGATGGGGAACAGGAGCCTTAGCCACCAGCCTGTACTGTAGGACACGAATGAACGCAATAAAATTTTAAAACATATACAATGATAATTAATTGCATTTCTACCACGATTTTAGCATACACGCGACGCATTAAAGGTAGACTGCCACCTTTTTTCACAAAACGGTTTTCACTAGAGCTGAGCCACCTATGTCCCAGACTGAAGTCGGTTTTCCGAAATTCGAACCCGTTTGCGAGAAATCGGAGACCAAAGTTCAGTTTGATGCCATTTTTTTAGTCCAAGAAAACCGACATCTCTACTGTTTATCAATAACTTTGAAACATGAATTTTCTTATCTTTTGGTAAATATATGTCAAAACTTTGATTGTTTCGAGATCAGAGAAGAATTTTGGAGTGTCAAAATAAAAGTTAAACTTATATATTCAGTAGCTCATTTTTTCCAAAAAAGTGTGGGAAATGGGGTTTAACATGGGCCAGACCCATTCCAAATGAGCCATGATTTTTAAATGTTTTACGAACTTAAATGCAAAATAAATTAAACATGGCCAATTTCTTATGAAATCAATTAGTAAATCATAAAATACCTTACTTTTTCAAATAAAATGTAATAATCTTATGACCTTGAAGTCTAGTGATGTGTAAACATTGTCGCTAGACATTAAACGATTGATAATTGTATGATAATCAACAATTTTTTTCGCGATTCACGTGATGATACTTTGTCAGGTGAATTCTAAAATTTTGTTTTGCCCAGGGAATAAATCATAGGCCGATCTGAGAAAACTTTTTGAAGGTGGCAGTCTTCCTTTAAAGGAGATGTTAGGCACGGTCTCTGGGTTTCATGGGAACTCTTTTTTTCTCTCGAAGGGATGTTTTACTTACTCGACAGGTGGGCTTTATCCTTGTATGCACATCCGTCTAAATATCCTGCAGCTAGCCAACTTGTCGACCACCATGCCACAGGCTGATCTGACATGATGTGATGATCCTCCCTATCCCGGAACGTTAATTGACTTGGAGCTATTTGTGTTGGGACGAGGAACGCCAACACACACTCGCCGCGCTTCTCACGTTGTTTCATGATTAAAATGAGTTATACCAAGGGCAATATTTCATTTAGAAAAATGGGACAATGGCGTAATTGCCATAAATCAACAACCGCGTTGTCGGCGAAATTTCCGGGTCATGATTTTCGATGGTAGTTTAGTTTTCCATGATAAACGTAAAAGGCTTGTCAGGGATTTAAAAGCATACGACTATTGCTAACGCATGGACGTTTGGATTTTCTGTATGGTGACATCAAAATCTGGTTGTCCTTTGCTTTTGTGACAGCCGCTGTCACTGAATGTGGGCGATCAGTTGATGGGCTGATTAGTCGTGAAGTAAGCTATGTCAGACACTGAATTTCAATTTTGCGCGTAGATGGGTATGGGTACCTATATAAAATATCATGATTTACGGTGAAAAGTGTTCCGTGCCCGCATTGAAAAGGCAGTGATAGCATGCATCGGAAAATATGAATTCACTGCACAGCGATCAGCTAACTAGACTCGCGTACCATGCCCAAAATAAGGCAGGTAAGGACCTATATAAGCCAGACATAAAGCGTGGTTAATGTTTGGCAATGCGGAAGGAAAGGGAAGCGTTGCGGGAGGCTATATTTTAAATCTATGTTATATAACGGAATGTTATGCAAAAAGTGCACGACCAAAACTGGTAAATTATGAGGTGAAATAAAGAACATTGTCATATACAATGGGTAGTGCAAAGTTCAACATATTACATCTTTAGGGGAAGCCGGGGGAAGCCCGGGCGCGGGGGAAGCCCGGCCACCCCGTTTCCGGCTAAATTATTCACAATAAAATGCTCAACTGTTTGTCCTTACAGCGTGGCAGCTAAGCTGACGCCAGCAAAAAAGTTAAGGCTGACAAAAATTGCATATTGTTAAAGTAATAGCGCAAAAATGATATTTTAAGGGTTTTTAGCTAAAAAGTGAGATATGTTGCACTGTAAATGTTATACCATACAGTACTAATATTTATCCGAATGTTATGTAAGGACCGTTTAAGTGTTTGTAGTGAGGGGTGACAAGGCAGGCTGGCTTAAGTATGACATTTTTTTTCGAATATCGCTGTTCTAAAATAAAAATTAGCACATTGGGGTAACCCCGGACGAGTGGCCAAGCTTACCCCCAACCGAGAGCGATGCCACTAAACCACTGTTTTCCATGAGATAATAGGTACTGAGCAGGTTTGGTTTACACCTAGATCAAAGATAAATTTCGAAAATAAACATGTTATCATAGACAAAGCCAGTCATGTCACTTAAGGTCAACTAGGGTCAAACTACGTTTTTGCAGATAACGCGACAGACAATGAAGCTAGAGCTTCAAAAATGGTGTCGTTGTGTTCTTCTTCATCAGCCGAGTCGAATGATATGCAATATGATGCATTAAGGTAAAGAGATAAATAAATTTTAAGGAATTTTGAAATGCACATTTTTTTGTCAATTTTGCATCACGATTTTCATCGACCTGTACTGTATATGTAGTAGGTAGACGCTAGCTAAAATACCAGTAGTGACATAAACTCTAAGATGTTCAGAGCTAACCAGTACCTTAATATTTCACTTTCCGTTAATATTTGGAAAACACATAATGGTTTCATCAACTCGTTGTAAAGCGCTGGGGAGGTGGCCGGCGTTACCCCTATGCCGGGCTTACCCCAGAAAAATCAACACTTTTTTAAAACTCGATTTTCTCAACCTTATACTTATTCCACGAAACCGAATTTTTGGGAAAACACGGCCAATGAACTTAGCTAGCTAGCTGGATATCAACATTTTATACAGCACGTATGGTATGTAATAAAAATGAAAAAGAGCTTACTATGCCGGGCTTCCCCCGGCTTCCCCTAATCATTTTTTGCGTTTTTCTTTTATTCCTGAACTAAACACTGCATTAGGTATTGATAGTGATTCAGCAATAGGCGATGCTTACAATAACATAAGTAACATCTTGTTATAGCATAAGTTAACATCTTACTCCCGACCAAAACAAAGCTTAGTTGTTCAAAATCTGGTTCCGCTTCCCTAGTTGTTCCCGGTTCCGCTTAGGCGACGTCAAAATTCCACACAGGCTTACAATCTAGTTTCGGCACCGTATCATCTCATGAATGCACTATTACGACCAATTTTCCGACATAGTTTCTGCCGCGATCACAACTTCCTCGGCTAACTAACGTAAATCTCAATTTGTAGCTAACAGTCTAATTCTAAATCCAGCCGCCGCTGTCTCCACACTAGACCAGAGCACAGCTCTGCAGTCTGCGGCCGCAGTGGTGCGCGGAGTCTCATCACCTCAATCAAAACACCGGACCGCTCCCGGCCGCGGGCCCACAGCTATGAGCAGCCGACCCCTGTGACCTGAGGCCTCAGCACACAGAGCCGGTCGGCGCCAGACGCGCGTGCATTGAGAAACGGTCCGGTTTGAGCGAGCTGCTACCGCCCGCGCCGCGCGCGCGTGCGTGGGTGGACCTCGGCCCGAAACGGCACTTGGCAACAGACTCGGCGGCTGCCCCGGGGGCATTCGGCGGCCAGCCGGGTCATGGCACCGGGCTGACACCTGGACGCTTTCGCCTGGCAGCAAGATGGCTTCGACTGACAGGTTCTTACGTAAAATACAAATATGGAAAGACTACGGCTCACGTGGTTCGGCGTTGACCTAATTTTCAGATATAGGAGTAGTAGAGGTAGTAGGTAACAGGTATGCAGATAATTGGAGTCTCTGGACCATTCCGTTTAACAAGGATATTTTGATTTAGGCGTAAGTCAAAAACGGGGCATGGATTCCATCGAATTATTTTGCACCTTAAATCAAGTCTGAAAAGATGTATCGCTGCGCAATTCATCGATATTTGGGCCGGCGATACACCGAAGCATTTTTGCTATTCCCTCACGATCTGAATTTAAATAGGCATTTAGATTTGAAACGACAACTCTTGCTACAATTCAATGAGTTCCGCAACCGCATAAGAGACATTAAATTTTAGTAAAAGTGGCCTTACCCACAAATGTCAGATCTCATCCTTTTCAAGAGTTTGTATTGAAGTCCTCATACCTACCAACGCTGACATTTACCTATTGCGGACATTGTTCCAAAATGCACACTCGGAATGCGGATGTCTGCACGTGCACACTGCACAGTGATCGTCCATGTGTGTAGACAGTCAACAGGCATACGCTTCACTACAACAGTGAGATGTTGCGATGCATGCCTCACTGTGGTGATGACAGTAGCAGCTGCGAAGTCTGGGACCCGGGCCGCCCCACTGTGCTCAGAACCCGCGAGGTTCCGGTCGGGGTCTGCCTGACCCCGTCGGTCGGTCGGTCGGTCAGCCAAAGTCGGCTGCCAACGCGCCCTCTGCCGGCGGCTGGCGGTGCGGGTCCTCCGAACTGCGGGTCCGGCAGTGCGTGTGTGGGCAGGACGAGCGCTGGCCAGGCAGGGCTCGAGCTGATACAGTGAGACAGAAGTGTGAGGGATTGGTGTAAGCGCGGAGCGCGACTGTGACGCAATCTGAAGAATGCTGAGATATGTGTGATCCTGTGTGATCGTGACGGTGACAACGTGCGAGCGCATGAGTCCGCCGTGCTAGCGCATTTATTGAAACCAACCTGTCTCATCGCTGGCGGTTCAAACCACTCCTGAGCTGTGTGAGCCCGATCGTCCGTCAACTTCATCTGGCAAGTTTCATGAGTACCTGAGTGCGTGTCACCACATCGTGTCGTGAGTAGCCGACACGTGAACATCCGCCAGTGTCTGTGAGTGAGACACGGCGTGCGTTCAAAATCCA